TACGTTTTTTTTGCTTAATATTAAGTCTCACAGATACCGTCTCCATGCAGCTATTTGACACAGAACAGCATTCCAAGAACATTAAAAAAAGCTGGTATATTTTCTCAGTTTATGTAAAGGCAAATTTACAGAGTTGCTTTTAGCACGCCAAGAATCTTCTTCTCTATAAACGTGGTATGAAAGTTTATAAAATGAGTATAGTTAAAAAATGTATAAATCGGAAAGTATAAGACCATCTCCATTAGGGAAACATGGCTGGAAATTTTGCTGTCTGTAGAGTTCAAATTTTGGGTTGGGTTCAAAATCAAGTGCAAATATCTTGAACGAATGAAAAAATAGTACAGATGAGTATAAAAAACAGAAGTGGAATCTTTTGAAACTGGCGACAAAAGGAAGTTAGAACTAACATTATCGAACTGTGGTGAACATGTAGGCAGTTCAAGATACGATGATGATGATGATGGTGATGATGATGATGATGATGATGATTATGATTATGATGATTATGATGATGACGATGATGATTATGATGATGATGATGATGATAAAGAAGAGAAAGATGGTTATGAGGACGATGTAAATGAGAATAATAACGTAATTTGCATTGAATATATCATTAGAACACATAAATTTGATTTTAGACCTCATATAACTATTTCATTTGCGAAATGAAGAAAAATTCTTAAAAGCAAAATGTTTCGTCGTGATCAAATTTGGTCGCATTTAAAACTTTGTCGAAGAAAATTTCGTCCAAACATTGACCGTAATCTGTCACGACGAAATTTTTTGTGGTTAATGTAATGTATACTCAATTCGGCTCACCTGAAACCGGGATTGTCCTGGGGAGAGCTGTAGTCAAGGTCTTTTGGTCCTTTGTTACTCCTATGGCTATAAATAGAATAAAGGTGGAACTGACAAAGGAAAACATACATAAATTCAGAAAACGAACTCACAAAAGTGCTACTTTTGCTAGATGTCAAACAAACGAGAAAGATGTCTGCAAAAACAACTAGTTTCAATGGCACAAAGGATACAGGCGTGAGGAACCCGAGACATCGCACTGGCAGAATCTTATTCTGGTATTCTTTAGAGGGCAGTATGAGCTGGTATACCTTACTTTGAAAGAAAATCTTAATTGTCATGCTATTATGCTCAGTGACCTTTTCAGCAAAATTCGTAACGTCCCTGCTTGACGAACTGCGGAAAGAGGGAGGTGGAGTGGAGGGGCTAACCCCTCTCCAATAATTCTCAAAAGCTCCTTAAACCCATATAATGAATCATCTTGCCATTAGCTGGTTACATGGTGACCCCCCTGCAAAAAAACTTTCAACATCCCAAGCCACTTATCAATATTTTTGCCAATTATTGCCAAAACATCACTGTTGATGTGTCCACTTTGCAGTTAAGCAATAAATCTATAAGCTCTCTCTTCCATTCACCTAACCGTTTTTCCATTCACTACCTTGCAAGGTATTGCTCACATTGATATGACTCACCTGGTGAAGCAGTTAACGAAACTTGAAGGATGAAACCACGTTCTACATGAGCATTGTTTGTTTTAAACCGAAACGAAAGCCAGCTTCCCTTTGATACAAAGTAGAAGGGATCAAGGTCACCAGAAAATAATCCTTTTCCAATAATTCCACTGTGCAAAACTTCAACATAATCAGGACCACTTTCTGAAATTCAAAAAAGATTACGTAAAAAAGAATAAATGCAAACAGCTTTTCAAATTGAAGTGAATATCCAGTTTAAATACTAGAAATTCTTATAATTAATATTATCATTCCAAGGTCATTTGTAAGGTGCTTTGTGTTGGTAAAATCTGAATCAGGCAAACAAATAATGAGATCAACTAAACATAAAAATAAAATAATGAACTCAATAACAAAAAACTTATTTAAGTCTGTATACAGAAGATAAAGAGGCGATATCACATCATTGAAGAAAAAATCAAAATGGATGACTACCTGTTTGGAAAAATCCGAAATTGAAACGCATCCGATATCCGTTAGTTGCATGGAACTTGTAGACGCAATCTTCGTCATTGAAGTAGGTGCCGGAACTAAATCGGAGGCGCGGTTTAATTGTACCAGAATACCTTATCAACTGAGAAGTTTGGGCTTGATTGCGACACTCTAGGAAAGAAAAAGCACCGCTGCGTTTACTAAGATTTCTGTGTAGGAAAAGTGGCTAGGTAGTTACAGCGCTGGACAGCAAGTGTTTGTTAAAGAAGGTTCTAATCTAGGTTTCGCTTATTTCTTTCTTTCTCCACCCTACTTTGTGCTTATTATGCTGTTAACCCAGGACATGCACTTATACAGGAGCGTAGTCAGGGTGGTAAGATTGGGGAGGGGCAAAGGGTAGTTGAGCGAGGGAAAAATGGGGATTCATATTCTTCGGAACGCCAGGAAATTCCTTTTTCGAAGGTGTTTGCCATGGGGTGGCATCAGACTATCTATCCCCCCCATTCCTTTCCCCTAATTATGCCCCTGGCTATGGGTTGTCAACGGGATTCACAGTAACATTTACTTTCTTGCCTGATCATCGTTTAATACGTAAAAATCAGTGCGGAAGCTCAGAATCACACAGTCTCGCCGTAGAACTGGGAATCGTGAAAATCTGTCGAGCAGACCAAAGAGTAATGAGAATGGTTTGCTGTGATTATTGGATGCTGTCCATGATAAGCAATATTCTAATATCCTTTTTACATGTTGTATGCAGCATGAGTATTGAGGTTAGTAAAAAGGAAGAGAATGGGGATATTTTCTGGGTTGGAAAGGAAAAATCTTGAGAAATCATAGAACATGCTATTGAAGAATATAAGGGAAGGGTCCATAAGATGATAAAAAAGAGAGTAACGGGAATGTTCGATGCAGTTGCTGAAGCATATGCAGAGTGGCTTAGAAAAAATTGGGCTAAGAGATCAAGAGGTGTTATCTGAGAGAATAGATTAAACCGTAATGGGTGAAAGGCATGAAACTGACAAACTTTACATAATAAAAAGTAGGGTACATGGAGAATCAAAGCAAATTTAAAGCATTATTGCAGAAGGCAAAACACTACAGCAGAGATTTTATGATCAAGGCATGAAGATAAAAATGTTTAGCAATACGGAAGGTTTTCAAGAAATACTGTTAAACAAATAAAACAAAAATAATACTTAAGATTAGCTCTATGGTTCCAGAACCTGCAAATAAAAAATGGGAAAAGTGAGGTTTTAGTTATCACAATTAGACTATCACAATTAGATCTCTATAATTGGACAATCAAAATAAACCTAACTGTCTACGAAGTTATTCCATATTCTTCCAACATATTCCTTAATGCTTATTCCAACTTTGGTCTGGGTGTCCAATTTCCTCAATATCAGACAGAATTCAAAATAAGAAAGGACCAATCGAATAATAAGTTTAAACGTCCATTTTGGTTTGACGTAGACAAAGTTTATGTTGCATCATTGGCGTTCTTCTTATATAATAACATATAATAACATATAATAACATAAAAACAAATCATAAACATCAAATCGTAATTTGTAAGATAAATAGAATGATATTGATGATACGAATATAGGTGAAATGTTATTCTTACCACTTGGAAGATCGTATGGTTTGGCAGAATGCACTGAAATGCGATCAATATTATACATGAATAACATTATCGATAAATTGAAAGTATCGATGCAATATCATCCTTTTTAAAAATCATGTATACTGATTGTGTGTATACCCGGAAACGTGTTGAATTTTATCTATTTTCAAAGATTCACACAAAAGTGAGTTATTGGAAGCAAACATTTTCTTATATATTATATATTATCTGTTATATAAGTTATTGGTAGATACATAGATACTGAAATGTGCTTCAATGTTCTAATGCAAAAATCGACCTCGTGCAACATACGAAATACATGGTTTAGAAAAAAATTCACAAAAGAAACATTTTGAAACTAAAATACAAACTTTGTGCATCAGTTGAAGAGATGTTGAATGCAAATCCTTGTGAAGTGTTCATATGAGTTGCATTAAACTCAATTCGTAGAATATTGCTTGGTGAAACCAGTTGAAATGGGGCTCTCACCCCAGAGATTTCAATGCTGTGGTCGTGACGGATCAATACTTTATCGTTGTAAGCTACAAGTAAAGAAAGGAATATTTAAGTCAGTGATAAGAATTATAGAGAAATTATAGAGAGGCATTTTAAAGAAAGCGAGTTTTATAGACATGCAATTATCAAGACACTGTAATTTTAAAGAAGAAGATTCAATCAAACTACGATTTAAAAAAGATGTTTTTCTTTATTTCAAAAGCAAGATTTTTGACTCGCAATATCACGAATCTGCTATTTTTCAATATTTGCGTTATCTTTGTCCAAAAAATTAATTTCACTTATCACTTTAGCTTACTTTTCTAATTATTTATTTTCACTGACACCAGTCTTGATAATTTTAAAAGCTTAAATTGTAAATAAGTAAGTAAATTCACTTCAGATCAGTGTTTCAGATCTTCTTTTCTCTGCACGTGTAATAAGACAAAGTAATTGGAAGCAGCAAGTTTCATGGACAGGCAAATACTAAGTCGCTATAACTTCAAAGGTATTATTAAAGTTCGTATAGAAAGTTTTATCAGCACATTATTTGTAAGAAACAAGGACTGTTTCTAACAATCATTTGTTTATGACAGCTAATCATTGGTACTAAAATGTGAAATTTCTTTGCAATGACTGGGCCTTGATATAATCATGAGGTACTAGTTTTAGCATTTAGATACCAAAATCCAGGATTTAAAGAAATTCTGTTTCTTGATTTCGAGGGTAAATGAAGCTAAGGCAACATGACCCTTTATTCAAAGCGAGACTAACGAACTACACAACAAACCTGTGTGAAAATATTCTGCCGATAAGTGGATTCGTAGCCTTGGATCTGCGGTGATAAGCCACTGGCAGCGGAGGTGGCTACCTAGCTTGGTGTTGTATTCGTAAAAAATGGATGCAGAGCGATTTTCTACCTTGTACATAACCTGGCCTGTATTGCAGACTGCAAAAAAGATTGATTGATTTGATGATATCATTAAAGGAAAAAGGGAAAATCAGTAATTGCATGTTATTTAGTAATCACCCATTGATGCATCATTAAATATTCTTGAATCCACAAACCTTGTTTTATTGTGAGTGCGTTGTATTCTGAAAACAAAACACAACTAAAGTTTAAAATGCAATTTGACAGATATGCATATCTCTTATAAACTCTTAAATCCCCTTAAAAGAAAAGGAATCTCCCCACGATGACTACCTAAATGGAAACTAGACGATACATCCAAACATTTCCACTTCATCTGTTATCGTGATCTTACTTTCTAGATACATTGACAGATACCATAAACATAGCTGCAAGACAAGAAATTACTCTGCAAGAAGGTCGAGGCTTTTCCTCTTGATCTATAAGGATTTAACAATGTTAGGTTGCTGTATAAATTCTCCGTCGTTAGATCCTGATCTCCTTTTTTAAAAAGGGCACTTAATCCTGAAGAGGGAGCTTTTTTCGACGAAAGTGACACTTTTTGTTCAAAAAGATGTATATTCTCTCCAAGATTGAGGCATTTTTAAAAAGTTTTTAGCTAAAAAGTGGGGATTGGTAGGGCCCTTACATCTATGTCCTATGATCGCATTAGGCAAGAAACTCTATATAGGACAACAATAATTTAAACGAAGGTCTGAAACAAAAATCAGACATACTTTGTATATTGTAGCATTCATCTGAAAATGATACGTCATCAACAGCAACATCAATTTGATATGAATCTCCACGCGTGAATTTCAGCTTTATCTGTAAACAAATGCAGTAGAACAAGATTAAAATGAAGACGGTTTCGCACATGCAGGCTTACTCATAAAAGTCTGGGACACTAAAAGGTCTGGGCGGCCCTGAGGCAATTTTGCAAACGTCCATAATTGCTGATTATAAACTTTAGAAAATTTAACTTAATTAGTTTGAGACTCTAGCTCCCAATTGTCAATCACATTTTTCTACCTTTCTTCGATATAAAAAGATCGGAATTGTAATTAAATCGTAATTTGGAAATTATAAGAAACAGAAATAGATGATAAATAAAAAGTATGCTTGCTAGATTTTTAAAAAACTCAAACCATTTTTTAAGTGGTAAAAACATTCTGTATTCTTTTCCATAAGGATGAAAGTTCATCACGTTTCTTTTGATTAAAAAGTTTCCGGATTTTTTCATTATCTAAACAAATTGCTGTGCTAAACAAAAGTCAGATGCTCACACTTTCCTGCCCTCACCCCAAATTTCACAGAGAAAGAGGAATACACATATAGAGATGCTTAGGGTACTTTTTGGGTTTAAAATTTAAAGCACCCTTGTCCTAAATAAAGCAGAGTATCCCCATTCTTGGGGTATTGGTGCCTGTCTTCTGCTTGATGCTTACCCTGTAAAACAGAGACGCGACGTTGAAGGTGACACGGCCATATTTCCACGAGTATCCTTGATCACCTTCTTTCGTCCACAAAATCTTCTCAATGCGGCTCATTGGATCATAGTACATGACCTCCAACTTCCCTTTTCCATAATAATACCCCTGGCGCATATGATAAAACCAGCGAAACTACGATATAAGAGAAATGAGTTAATGAACTGCACAGAATGATTATAGGGTAGCTATGCCCCAACGGTAAGTTGGCTAGCGATCTCACCCTACTTTGTATGAGGTCTCGAATTCAAACAAACTTAACCTAGAGAAAATGTTTCTTGTATTGACTATGTCTACGCAAAAGACTTCTTTTATGGATCAGTAAACTTAACGATCAACTGAAGAGAAATAATCACTATCATCGAAAGAGGGACTAATGCAACCCCTACAAAAAATGTAGCCCTTGAGAGTGCTGCTGGAGGAAACTCGGTAGATTCTTAATTACCAAGTAGAGCTTGACCAACTAGGGTGTTGCCAAATGGGGCAACCCTAGTTTTGTGTTGTCCATTAAGGCATACCTGATTAAGTGTTGCCCAGAAAAAAGCTACAAAGTAGGGCATTGCCCATTAGGAAACTATCCAGTAGAAATCACAGGATGCACCAGGAAACAAAAATGAATTTTTAAAGTGGGTGCAGAAAATAATGAATAAAACAACATACTATGCATATTCCAGATAAAGGCTTTTGCATCAATCCACTGACAAGATACCCACTATGACCAGGGTCTATGCCACTTGCTTCCAAGTATATATAATAACCACCTGTGAAAAGGAAAAATGCATACCTTAGCTTCATAACCATTTTGAGCTCACTTAGAGCTACATATTCTTTCATGGGGGTAAAATGTAGTTAATATAAAAAGATGCCCTACTTGTACACTATACATTATTGAATACCATTAGCGATTTTCGTTTCTATTTGTCTCGCGTTAATGTTTGACAGTCAAGTTCTTCATCATACTTTGTGATGCCAGATATCTTTTTTCTTTCAAAATCGATTAGAAATCCTCTAACATAACCTCAAAAGTAATTAACTTCAAGTCATTAGGAGCAATAACTTGGACAAATACGAAATAGATTAAATCGAGAGTCTAATACATTGCAAACCAAGGAGCACTGAGAATATAACATGCGATGGACACTCAGTAGGTTCTTTTCTAAAATATGACTGAAAATTGAGAGTTTCCTTTCAAAAAAGAAGAAGCTACAAGAAAAAGTCCAAAAACAAGAGGTTAAGAAAATAAACCTTAACAGATATCAAATAAAAACTATTCTGTTACGTAAGATTAATTATTAGGCCACAAACAAACGATAATTCATTGTGACGTCGCGTTAATTAAGAATCTCAACGCATATAAAAGGAGAACCAATCAGTCGATGATTGTCAGTTCAGCGACTACAGTAACTGCACTGGCTCATCAAAGAGATCGGAGTGAATTCGCAAACTTCAGTACGTTGAAAAATACAGACATCTAATCGAAAGATTTAGCCAAGTCAGGGAATAAGAATATGGGAGCAGCGCTGTCAAAGTTCAAGAGGCCTGAAGGTAAACGTAGATGTCAATTGCTGTATAAACAAGATAAATGGTTGCAAACTTTGTTATTCACGCGGAGGCTTATGTTGCCAATTCCAAAACGTCGCTTACTAGCAAAAAAGAATTTCAGTCAGCAGTGACAAGTTTAAGAAATAAATGCAAAGGGAGAAAGTGTCATTAGAAATATAGTTTCTAAGAAGCTTCTCAAATGCAGTCATGAAGAACAGAAAACATGGATCAAATTCTTTGAAATCAAAACAGATTGGCTACACCATCAATAGAATTTGAATGATAATTTTTCTTCTAGTGTGACCATATTCCACCTCTAAATTATTTTGTAGCCTCTCAGACGAGCAAACTTTCACAGCTAAAGAAACTTACTAATATATTTCGAAGAAGAAATCGCACAGAAAAAGGTAAGGAAATTAAGAATACTCTAAAAAGAATACACAATTAGAAAATGCCATTTTCCAGATTACTGAAATTGAGGAGACAGAATTGGATTGAACTTCATCTTGGCATTTTCTTTTGCAGAAAAGAATGCAGAATTGCGTGAGGAGAGACAAACTGCGAAACGGCAAACATCATGGGTGAGTTTTTATTCACACAAAGCAAGACCACTTCAATTATTGATGAATATTTTTTGCTAGGATAGGATGTCCTTTTCTGACTCCCGTCAATGTGACCAACGTATATTCATCACAAACTAACCTTTAGCAGTATCGATACAAAACCAAACAAGAAAATAAGCATTTTATTGACCAAATAAGTAAGAAACGCCTTTCAAATGCACCAGGCTCTTTCAAATGTACATATCAACTGCATAGTTGCCAGGTAAAATATAGCTTTTAAATGGTACCTATCTCGGTATCGAAAATGGCTTTCTTACACAATGATGTCAAAAGTATACTGTACAAATACCATAAATATTGGTAGATACACTATGTATCTGACAAATCACCTAGGAGTATGTGGTTTTGACCAAAACCATTTTGTTCTGTCTTTATAGGTAAACATTGCAAACAGTGACCAGCACACAAACGGCCAATTTCCACCTATCGCCCACAAGAGCGGAGATTTCAAAACAAAAGCAAGTAGAGTGCATCACAAGCTCAGCCAGATCGATTCTTTCGAGAATTTCCAGGCTCCAATTCAGTCTCGATTCTCAAGTCACGAACAGAGGCAGTCATTTTCTGGGAAGATCCAGCGTAACAGCAGATACACTGATTCAAAATCACATCATAATATTTCTGCAGCAGTCGCTAGCCCTATCGTTGACGAGTATCAAAGAATGATTGAGAAATTGGCTGCCATGGAAGACCATTGGTGTGAGGTAGATTCAGGTTGTCACTCGTCACAAAGCCATGCATCATATGAGCTACAAGGTGACCATTTCGATACTGAGACATCGCTATATGACTACGAAGATGAAGATACAGCATCACAAAGTCCCGTTGTAGAACAATCTAAGTTGATTAACGAGAACACAATCTTAGCTGAACAAAATTATGATCTGCCTCTGCACGTCAAATTGGAACAGGAATTTCCCCGATTTGATCATTGCAAGACAGATCGCCAATCTAACTCATTTGTTGACGACGATTGTATTCCGGAATACGACCCAACTGAGCCACAACCTACTTCAGTTCGAATTCCCATGGTCGTAAATGGCCAAATTTTCCCTCTCACTGTACATCGTAATAGTGAGCTTGCAGTGGCTTACAATCTCGTTGAATACTATGCCAACAAAAACCAACATATTGCCAAGAGAATCTGCACCATAAGAGCAAGGTTGGGTGCCAAGTTTCTTTTCCCTGTCTTTGTCCACGGTCGGGTTGTAAATATTCCTCTCGATGCGAAGGACAAAAATGTGAAAGCGTACAGGGAAATTTCGGCACTCAAATGTTTTCAATATGAGCAAATGAGTTAGATTGGCAAAGAATATCTTAAACTTATCTTTCTCTACTTCCTATTTTATTAACATTATTGTATGTTAGGTTGATTTGAATGAGGATTTCTGAAAACCTTAAATCTTTGTCGTTTCTCGACCAGTTCTGCTATGTGTAAAAGTGATAAACGATCGAAGTGATAAACGATCGAAGTGATAAACGATCGAAGTGATAAACGATCGAAGTGATAAACGATCGAAGTGATAAACGATCGAAGTGAATAATGATTCTGAGAAGACATAGAAGTTGGAAAAACAAAAATTGTTTCAGCAAAACATTGCTATGATTCTAGGGCTGTTGTTTTCCAGGGTTTAGTAAAAGTAGTTGGGACAATTGGACAGCCTCCGAAGCCTCTGCATGTCACTGAGTGACTTCAAAAGAGGTAGCGTGAAAACTTCTGAGAAAGAATCTTGAAATTTTTCATTATTCTGCACAAAATACTCAAAAAACGATACACTATCCTTAATAAGTTATTTTATTCATGAAATGCACAGAGAGTTTATCATAAAGCCATCCTTTTTTATTGTTTGACACAGTTTAAATAGTATGTTAACTTTAAAGGCAAGTAAATTTAGTATCTGGACGCTAAACTTTTAAAATTTTGAAATTGTATTGCTTCTAACAATTACCCTATCAATTTGCTCTTACCCGGTCTCAATATTCAATTGATGCTCTGAAATTCAATAACAAAATTCTGAAGAATCGACGGACTTACTGATAAATTTGTTGGTGTGATCTTTAGATGGGCCGACTCCAGAACTAGGTGTACGACCTCTGTGGCGGCGCAATAATGTAGCTGCATTCACTTCAATTCGCCAGCTGCATAAGGATTTCTCAAATGTGCATGTTTCCGAGTGATTTTCTGGAGAAAAAATAAAAATAAAAAAATTCAAAAAAATACTTGATCTCTTTTCAAAAACTTGAAAAAACTAAAACTTGAAGCAGCTCTAGAAGCTGTTGTCACGCAAAATAGGTCCTAAAAAATATTTCCTTTTTTTCTTAAAAACACTCCTGCAGCTATTTGCCTTAAATGCCCTATCTACATAGAAAATAGTTCTTAGCAATGAAACCCAATACAAATTATTTCTTCTACACTTCTCCGCATACTACATTTCTTCCCTTCAAATCCCCTACTTCTACACAACCATCCCCCCCCCCCCCCCCCCCCCGTTGATCTCTATTACCTATACCTCACTCCACAGTCTACTTCCTCTCACTCCCTGCACGTTATTCCATTCAAAAAATTTGCAATTACCAGAGAGCAATGAAAAACTTGGGCGTAATAAAAACTTGATTTCACTCTCTAGGCAGTTATTTCAATTTGAACTTCTTCTGTTAGCTTACACGAGGTTCTATTCATTCATCTCAAAACCCTTATCCAATATTGGAAATTAAAATGAGGCAAGGCGTTCCATGTTACAATAAACATTCTATTGACAGAAAGCATACTCACTGCAATTCATCTCATCACTGCCGTCAAAGCAATCCGCATTGAGGTTGCAGACTAGCGAAGAAGAGATATCCTCGCCACTATGGCAAACGAAAATATCGGATCGATTGCTTGGGACTGCAAAAAAAGGAAAAGATTGTCTAGTGAAAAATATTCTTAGAGTATGTTATAGGGAGAATATATGGAAATGAAAGGCATAAGTAAAAAGAAAATAAAAAAAAGCGGAGGACAATTGCTTTGTTTCTGTATTTATAGTTGCTGCTATCAAGCTTCTGAAGGAGGTTTCTAGAAAACTGAGACGCTAAACTTACCAGGCAGTGTCCTGGTACTACCTCTCGATGTAACCACACCTCGGGATTACCACACATGGAGTAAAGTCTCGTCATGTCATTGACTCGAACCACAGACAGTAACTAAGGAAGCGGAGGGCGGCTTTAGCTCCTCCAATTATTTCAAACATTTACTTAAAACCATGCACAAAGTCGGCCTACTCTTGGTTTTTTTCTCCCTTGATTTTTCTCGCTCTCCAAAGGGCTTTAGCTCCCTCAATCTGCAATAGGCTCTACCGCCCTAGGTTCTCAGCCATCCTCACACCTAAGTTTCTGATATGTGTTTTGATACGGCAAAATAATTGATTTGGAAAATGTGTGATACGTGCTTTGATGCAACAAGACTATTTTTATGCAATATGCCGGATAGCACTCTTCTTCGAGAGTGAAAATGTTTGTCCAGCAATGCTAATTCAAGGCAAAGAATTCTTCAAACCTCATATCTTGGTAACACCCAATTACCACAATTCATACTATATTTAAGCTTACTATGGTAGTCAGTTCCTAATGATCAGCCCTCCCTGCCCAAAGCAAAGTACTGCACTTTTGCAACAGTTTGAAACTGTTATGAGGAGGTTCACACACAAGGCGGGTAGGTCAAGTGAACCATGAGTATTCGGTACTACGGACGAATGGCTGATAATGAAATAAGACACAGAGGTCTATGTGTCAAACGAAAGCTCTCTATTCTCTATCTGTGCAACAGAAATTTGAATAAAATAAATTTGAATAAAATAAGAGTTCCTGGAAACAAACCATGTGTGTGATTGCGAAAGAGGCATTCAGGTGAGAAGGATATATTAGCCAGATTGAAGAACCCATGGTAGCTTGGGCCTGTGACATCAATCCGGATCTAAATAGAGAAAAAGATACATGAGCGGTGACTTTAACAGGAAAAAAGCTACAATCCAGCAAGTGTAGACTTAGTAAGCAAGAGATAAACATGTCTGTCTGGGAGATTGCTTAATATATAAGAATACAATCAAATCATATGCGCAGGCACATGACGTCATACAGTAATGGTAATAATAATAATAATAACTACTACAGCAAGCATCAAACATCTTTTCAAAGATATCAATGTTAGTTTAAAAAGTTTGACCACCAAATGCCCTCCTCCTGTAAATTGTTGATACCTTTTCTGCGTTCCTTCGTGCAGCTTACAATGACAAAATGTTTACATTAAGCCATTTAACGTCAAAACTTAAACGTTAAAATGGGGGGAGTTGGATATACTAAAAATATGCTTTGATATATTGTTCGAAGAAAGTACGCACCCTAAAATTGCCGAGAGTATGTAAGATAAGGTTCTGTCTTGACCAGCCTTGCCGGTGCGGGGTGCTGATCGAATGGATTACCCTGTCGGTGTTGCTTGTGAGCGAGAAAACCCGCAGAATTCCTCTCCAGTATCTGCTTGTTTGATACGAAAAGCGCAACACACAAGTGACGTTGGGGGAGCCTTCCGAACGAAAAAATAGGTTAAATAACATGCGGAATTGTACATTGCAAAGAAAAGGTAATGGCTACAATGCAATAAGGAAAAAGCACTCTCAAAAATGCAAAATGTGTTTTGACAAAGCAGAAATTGCTGCAATAAATTCTTAAAATCGAATCTACTGTATGGTTCTTTATAAATAGGGGAACACCAGTTAAGAGTAATTTTTAAGCATTGTTAGAAATCAACTTGTATTCTTGGAGGTATATAAAACATTTTCAGTAAAATTGGTTCCTTTTCCCGCTGTTTTTACTTACTCGTATAATACTGGTCTGCTGTTCATTAACTACGACCCCTCAGTCATTATGACACGAAGATAACTTCACGCAAGTTTCACAAAAAAAAACGAAGAAGCCTTTCGTAAACAGAAGAAGAAACTAGTCAAATACCTTCAATGGTATCTTTTAACAGCAATTTTCCCTGATCATTTGTATGAAGAGAATGTGAATTGTCGGCTTTCAAATAGTAGTGATTGCCTTCTGAAAGAAAAAAAAATTAATGTTTCTGCTTCATAACACCTTCCAAATTTTCGTGCTTGATTGAAACTTGAACAATTTTATCAAAACTTTGGAAAGCCTTCTCTACAAATCATCAACCATCATTTCGTTGGAAGGAAAGAAAGAAAGGAAACAACTTCAGCCAATACAAAAGGTTGGATTTTTAAATGCCAAGACAACATTCAAGGGAAGTGACACTTCAAAATTGCATGGTATTGAGGCCCTTATTTTCCCTGCTGATTCTAGATTTCATGTTTCTCGCCGATGTCATACATTCACTATCAAAAGCTTGAATCATTAATATTAGACCCAAACAAGGGTAATAACGAAGAGAAATAGAGTTCTGAAGTGAATAACGTCATGGTTTTGACATTTTGAACTGGATCGCAAGGATCACATTCCCTGAAAGAGCATTGTAAAATATCTTAAAATTTGCTGTGTTACAAATTGGCTGAGATAATTACAGATGAGCATGGGCTTTTTCTCAATCAAATCACTGTAGTTTGGTCTTGTTGAAAAATTAATGAACCAGGCCAAAACAACACTTATGCAAGCAATATCTTCGTGGTAAAAAATTTAAAACGTCTTTGTAAAAGCAAACATTTGAGTCAAAGTGAAGATTTTCGTCTGAAACTCTTCAGAGTATAAAACATGGTAACATTTTCAATAGCCAAGCGGCAATGATTGGGCAACCAAAAAAGTCAAGTGCTCGCGTTTCTGATTGACCTATTTCGATCCAGAACTGGGTAAATACAAAACAAATATTTTCTAGTGTATTGTTTTGATAAATGTTCTGAAGTTTTGAGGAAAAATGTCAGAAGAAAAGCTTTACTATGGCTCAAAATGTTGACTTTTTACAAAGCCACCAATACTCTTAATTACTATGTAAGCTCGTTTCTTTAACTTGCTTTTTACTTGTCAACAAATAAAAGACTTTGCAATTACACAGATATTTCATTGTGTTTTTTCAGACTATGTAGGCAAACATTTTAAAATTACATTGCTTCTATGACGTCACATTTTGGTATTCTATCACTAGTTCAAATTTGATCCACTTTGGATTGTTGGGCCGTCGCATTTTCAGGCTTTGGGTTTACTGACAAATTCTGTCTCATTAAAAGACTGCAATGGCGTTAAGTCTACCACCCTATGTAGTCACCTGTAATTCAATTTATTAGAAAAATTACAGAAATAGTGTGGTATACGAACCTCTTGATTTTGTGCGCTGCCATTCTAAATTGGTATGCTTAGATGGTATCCAATTGCAGAAATCGTTTTGAAAATCACATCTTTTGTATTCTATGCAGTCCTCTTCATCTTCACTCCCTGGACAATCCTTATGGAAGTCACATCTATGATTGCGATCGTAACACTTTAGGCTTCCAGCGCCACTGGTACAGGTGTTGTGGGTAAGACGGGGACATGTCATGATATAATCTGTAAAAAGATGATACCAGCTTTAAGATAGTAAGATAGTAAGACAATCTTTCAAAGAATGGACCGTCCTTAATTATATCATAAACGTATATCATACCTAAACGTAACGTATAACAATTGAAGAGCATGACAAAATCTTCATTAAAATAATAGACAGAGATGGAACAGAATCTGATCTTTATATTTATAAAGAAGACAAAGTATTTCACTTTATTAGCATACGATACGCAAAAAGATGCCTTCTGGCTTATGTATTGACATTCTTGTAGAACGCTGATCGAGTTGACAAAAATCCACATGATATTTCTATGGATGTTTAAATATGAACAAAAAGGCATTTTCATATTCTAGATTTATCAAATTATCCAAGCGCTTTAAATATTTTATATTTCTCGTGAGATTTTACCAGCTTTTTGGGCTTCCCCTCTTTTTGAAAAGTAAAAAAGGAGACTGGAAGTTGCAATCTAGGAGGAACGGTGTTACAGCTACAATACAAGAGGGAAAGATAAACAGACTATATGAACGGTACAGAACCATACAGGTTGTGCAAATGCAAGATAACTTTATCCTGATAAAGTTGGGATTAAAAGAGTTCTAAACTAGCATTGTATACAAAACATTCTAGTGGCAACGCTGGGTATACCTGATTTGCATCTCCAGAAGGTAGCATAAATGCAGCCAGTTGAATTGTGGCAGCTGCTTGAATTAGAGAGCGTGTTGTTGCTCAAAAGGCAAGTCTTCTGGCCTGACTTAAAACCTCTTGCTACCAAGGTGCTATTTGCCAAACCGTTGCATCCAAGATATCTGCAAGCTGCTAGTGCTGAAAGAGGTAGGACATGGTAAGCAGAGAGAATTGAAGATCCCACAGAACGTAGAAGACTCAAGGTAAAACAGATTTCAATGTGGTTTGCTTTGAATAACACGTTCCAAAGTATAGACACATTTTATATTTTTAAAATATAATACATCTGTTTCACATGACTGTAAACTGTCTAAGTGTAAAGCTTCCCACCCTCTTTGCAAAATCGTTTGATATTTTCCTTAGATACACAAAAATTCAAAAATGTTAATACCTACGTCAATATTTGATATCGTCTCATTAATGTTTTGAAGATCTATGTCTATGGGGTTTATCGTTGTTTCAACACTCGTCTTTTGGCATTCAAGGATGCAATACCAAGAAAGCTTGGGCCCAGCCTCTTTGTTAATACCAAAAATAGCCAAGTTTTTTTTTGTTAATGCTAAAAGGTAGGCAAGACCCCCCCCCCCCCTTTGATAAAGTTATAGGCAGGAAAACATTACAACCGCACGGCCACTGACCGGAGGAGGGTCCACAAAAGACAATAGAAGCTCCTATGACACACCCAAGCCACTCCCACTTTCTATTGTTTTGTGAGGAATGTTTGCCTTCTGGGACGTTTTTATCTAGAGGAAAGTTAACAACTTTTCAGGACTCTGGTTATAGGAAAGCCATTTGTTCCCATTTTCTTTAGCATTTCACATCGTGCTCATTTCCAGAATATGATAAGTCTATCAGAGTAAGACTGTCCGTAAAATTAACATACCCTTGTCTTTATCGCAAACCATTGACCAGCTGTTGCCTGTCTTCTCGTAAAACACACCCTCTGGAAAATTGTATTTGGGTAATGACTGAGGCTTGACAATTTTGATTGGCGTTAGCTCTGAAAGAAAAATAAATCCAAATCTTTCATTTCTTGCACTAAACATTACGGTACAGACATTGCTTGACGTTCAGTTTATGGAACTACAGTTTGATGTAGAGATCTTTCCTTTTGAGTTGATACAATTTATTACAGAAGCAGATGCGATAGAGGAAAAATCAAAAGTCGGGAATATAGGCGCTTTTACGAAATTGGCTTTCTGAAAAGGGGACACAATGATTTTAGGGGGCATCAAGGTGAAGGCGACAGCTCTACTAAGACGTTTGAGACCAAAGCTGAGCTACGGGAAAGAAAAATTGATTGGATATCTTATAGGAAATATTTTGCAGTCCAGCTTATGCAGTCTATGCATCAAAGGGATTTGAGCACATAAGGAAAAGGTTTTATGACAGTGCAGTTACGGTATGTAACCCCTTCATTCAATTCGCGAACTAAACAAATTTTTTTTGTGTCGGTAAAGTAGTACGACTTCCTCGATGATCAGCACCAATGGAAATAATATTTTTGCTGTAGTTAGGAAATTTTGAACGCATTCATTTTATATATATTTTGTCTTCAATGTATCTTATTTGTTGAAGGATAATAAAAAACAAAAATAGCCAAAATATTCTAAATGAAAATAAGTCAGAACAGGAGTCTTTCGAGGGCTTTACGTTCCATACGATGGATAAGACACTTGAAGGCATTGAGTCATATTAATAGGCCTTCTCTATAGGGGGTTTTATGGCAAAAGCATTTGGCGGGCCGGATGAAATCTTGTTGCGGGCCTGAGTAGGCCCACGGGCCGGAGGTTAAGAATGGCTGCTATAAGGATAGTATGGTTTCGGCATAAATCAGTACGAGGCGAGTTCATGTGATCAGTGCTAAGCCCACCAATAGGATTGCAGCACGAAAATCATGACTCGAATTATTTTGGTGTATCTAATCCTATTATTATGACCCAATGCCTTTAAGTTATCTCATGACACTTGCGCCAGAACCATCAGTAGCACGTGGGACAGTTCAGCGTGGGCTTCGAATGATGAAACATAAATTCTTAAAAAGGTTATCTTTACCTTGTGTAAAACAGCCTTCAGTGAACATGACGTCATCTAGAGCTATTATCCCATCCACATAATGCGAACTTCCAGTAATCTCCACCTGCAATAGAGAACTTTATTAACTAACTTCCTACACGAAAACACGCACGCGCGAATAGTCGATTTGAACCCTTTCGACGGGTTATAGTTATCGTTAAAGGTCAAGACTCTGGTTTTTGGTGTCAGCAGGTTAAATTTTATCAAAATTATCATTCAGACTTTTTGGCCTCCGACTGTTGAAATCTTGGACGTCAGAGGCCGAACTGAAAACTATGATATATTTTGGAAAAATAAGTAAACAATCAATGTTTAGCCGGCATATGTAAATAGTTACATCAGCCATCAAAACATCCCCATTTAAAATGGAAAGAATATAACTAGAACTGACTTAAAGACTTGTAAGTTTCAGATCTACAAATCCTTCATTTCTATTTTAAGAGTACACCATGGCTTATGGGTAAGATAATCACATTGTCCCTCGTGATATCCATTCAGTTTTTCCTTCCTAGTTTGGTTCATGAATTGCACAATGTCATAAAAAGACCTATGATTCTGTTTCATTCAATGACAGATAGGTCAATTCATTGAAAATAGGCATAGAATTAATTAAAGATACTCTCACCTGAAAATCAACATCGCTATTTAGCGTCACTTCGCCTCTTTTCCAATAATGATCTCGAATCGAAGCACGGAATAAACGCACACGTGAAATACCATCCATTTTTTTAATAACCTTTTCTACTTTAAGGTAAAGATAGTAATAATCTATATCCCTTATCACCTTGTAGTAGAAAACCATCTGAAAAAGAAAAGCCGAAAACTATATGTACACGGTCTGATGTACAACTAAGGTAAAACCAAATGAATCTAGGCATTTTCTTTTATAATTCTACAAAAATCAATTACATTTTTGTAAGTCATAAAAAGATGGGTAATGAAAATGTGATGATACAAACTCTGGCCAAATTGTTTACTTTAATTTTACTCTGGTATTAAATAAAATCCTTTTCATTGAAGGGGACAAGAGATGGTTGAATTCGACCTTGAGAATTAATTGTGGTGTACAAAAGAATTCTACATTGTTTGTAGCAATGTTATTATAAAACATACCTTACAAGAGCCATTTGCTGGTTTGAATAATGGTGAGACTAGCTTCCCAGCATCACCAAATCTCACCCCAGTTAGTGCTAGAACTGCAACTGAGCCTATGAAAAATAGGTTGTTAGAGTTAGTTTGATTAGTGCAACAGAAGGTGCTAGCCATCTAATAAATTTGCCTGCTTCTCTGGGAAATATATAAGGCATCAATATAGAAGAATTAGAAGGACCTAAGCAAGAGGCAGATTATTTGGGGGCAGAGTGTTATCTCACAAAATATCAAAGAATACAATAACTCTTTATAAATTATTTGTGATCCTTGGCCCGCAAGCCCCAATATATGCTAGGGACTGGAGTAAGGAAAGACATAAATCACTTCCCTAAATAAGCAGAGCTTTCTGAAAATGCAAGTTAATGTAGTGAAGATTCTCTTGAAACACTTCTAGTTTTTTCCTGAAAACAGAGGTGCTCAGCCATAATTCATTTGCACTACCCCCCCCCCCCCAATTGGTACCTAGTTTCAACAGCACTGGATATATGTAAGGATGCATGTTGCAATAACTGAAATATACTATATAAGTATAAGAGACCAGTAATTTAATCTACAGAATATAAATCCAAATGAATCAATCTTACCATTGACACTGTCTTTTGTATGATCTTCGATTTTGTACGGACTGTCAGCACTGTGTTTCCAACCAAACCCATTGACATCAACTTTGTACCAATCACATAAACCATCTTCAAAATCACATGACCATTTTGGCACATACTGACCTAAAGAAAATTAAATAAAAACTTCAAAGAGTAATACACTCAGCATAGGTTTTTGCTTAGCAGCTAATGTCTTTTGAGTGCCAGGAATATTCTTAAAAGAGACCCAAATAAACAATATATGGGTAATATATGGGATAATAAGAGATCCAAAAAAGTTTCCTTCCGTCAGTATTAACTTAACTCGAACTGTTATGGCAATCCAATAAAAGCTATGAAAACCCCATTAGGAAACTTAGAGACAAAATTATCGGGGTGGAAAACAGCTGGTATTCTCTTGCTTAATGCCACCTCACCACCCTTTGGCTATGGGCCTGGGTTGATTTGCTAGATTGGCTGTTAATCATAATGTTTCTACCTCATTCTTTTAGTTAAAATGCTTGACTTTTTCAGAGTTCTCAAAACCTAACATGGTAGTATAGTAAAAGAGAAATTTGTTTAGCCAATCATATGGTGCACATCAATAATGATATTTTGGCCATGAGGGCCATGGAATTTTCATGTTTTATTAACAGGGTTTTAAATATATTTAGCATCAGTATTTACAAAAAGCTTCTACATGGTTTCAAACAAAAGCTGGATCTGCTTTTCACAAATTTTTTATTTGATCATGAAACCATTCTAGGTAAAACAAATATCAACCTTATGGAAATAAACTAAAGTTAAAGCAAATTGCTAGATTTAATCCAAGAGACAATGAATGAGAACTCTGTCAAGCTTATAAACAATATTTGAAGTTAATATTCAAAGTGTCAATCTACTGCCTTGATGTACAAGCTATTTATCATATACATTTTTATTTCAATCTTATAAATTTCCCTGAAGAAAACATGAAACCTCAAGATTTTGCACTTTGGGGGATCTGAAATAATCATGGTGAAATTAAAAATCTGTTTTTGCCATTAGAAAATCTTTTACAGTAGACTCTGGCTATAGGCACAACTAATTGTAAAGACTGCCTCGTTGAATATCTCTTGTTTGGGCAAATTTTGCCATCATTTGTCATTTATGAGAGTGAATTATAAAGAAAGGCAACTGCACAATAAATAGTTTTGCACTTGAGTCCATTTGAAAGGAAAGGAAAGGAAAGGAAAGGAAAGGAAAGGAAAGGAAAGGAAAGGAAAGGAAAGGAAAGGAAAGGAAAGGAAAGGAAAGGAAAAGGGAAGTGCAGAAAAAGGAATGTACTGTAGTATTTTTATAGGAACCTAAAACATATTTAACCTGGTCCTTGAATAGGCTGGACCTTGAATAGAATTTGGTCTCAAATAAATGCTGAGAAAATATTTCTAGTTCAGAAATAAACAGAGATGCATTTATCCAATCTTCACAAAGCAAAATAATGTTTAAAATAACATTTATCAAACTTAAACCATTTTCTCAAATGATTCAAATGATATTATCTCAAATAATATGATTTATAAGATTTGTACAAGAGGAAATACCACAAATCTGATGATATTCTTAACTTGATTCTATATCCATTTTTAAGACCACGTCTACAAGAATACTTTTTCAGATGAAAAAATTATTTATCATGCCATACCTATTATGTACCATCTACATGAAAGGGTAAATCTGTTATCAAAAACATATACAAAAACAGTTTTGAGAGGGAAATCCTTTGAAAATGCAATGATATTTGAAAACGCAATGACATTTGAAAATGCATTGATATTTGAAAACGCATTGATATTTGAAAACGCAATGACATTTGAAAACGCATTGATATTTGAAGACGCAATGATGTTTGAAACCACAATTATATTTGAAAACGCAATGACATTTTAAAATGCATGGTTTCTGCATGATGTTTGATTTGTTTTCATAAAGATAAAAACGCAAAATGAATCACTATCAATTTTCAATATATAACCAAAAGAATATCTCAATTTTCAAAGCTTCAGCAGTTCAAGGGGCACACTAAAAGAAATGATAGCCACTGTTTCTCCATTAGCTAGTGACATGCTTCTTACTACCAAAAATTCCTGTGTATGTTAAATTTGTGTACCAAAATCAAAGTTTAATCAAGTTGGTTTGTTTAAATGCTCTACTTGGGTGAGGATACAGATAAAATAAATAAAATATAAATAAAATAAAACAAATAGATGGAATGCAACTATATTTCATGGAGCAAATATATGGATGAGGCAATCACTATTCACAGTTTTCTAAATCAGATATTTCTAGATTAGAGCCGTAAGATCAAACAGCTTTTATAAGATGCGCACTTTCAGTTACACAGAACAAGTTAAGACCAAGATGAATTCACTAGGAGTTAAGCTACTGATTTGTCATAAAGCGGTTCAACTTATCAAAACCATTATTTGTTCTGAAGACAAGAAATGGAATAACAAACAATAAAATTTCAACTTATTTATTTTGCAATATTCATGTTTTCATTCGTTTGCATTATGTTCAAACTTCATCTATAATATTTCTAATTATTTTACATCAATATATGATCAGTCAGTTGATACATTTTTGTTGAATATTTGAATTTCTTGAACTTTTTGTGTAAGAATGGCTTGTTGTTTATTGTTCATAATACTTCAACATCCATCTGCTTCGAATACATCTACTCTAGATTTGATATATTTCTCAGATTTTTGAATTCTCTTGATATTCAGTTATATTGTTCTTCTCAATTTAAGAAAAATAAAGTAATGACGTCATAAACACAATCTAGGCCTACGCTAGGCCTATGGGGTAGACGGCTTTGGTAGCTCTTTTTTAGCTCTTTCTGTCTGCCCCTCGACATCATATGGCTATCCATTAGACCAGGGCCTATTTTAAGAAATTTTTAATACTGCACATTTATAACTACATTTTTTATAGGAAATTTTGTTGTTGCAATTTTTGGAAATTTCTAGTCATTTCGTTTTGTTTTAAGTTTTGATTAAAGAGTCTTTCCGATGGTCATACGAGATTTGCAATACATGACCTCTATATCGAACTGACGGGGAATATTCACATTTTGTGAACAAAGCGAGAATCTGGGATAGCGGCAATTGAACATTTTCACAAATCCTAAAATTTAATACTGCACATTTTCGAAATCAATACTGCACATTTTTAAATTAATACTGCACAAAGTGTGTAATACTGCACACTAAAATAGGCCCTGCATTAGACACAAAATAATTCATTTCAGTTCCAAATAATTCTATGAATCGTTGAAATGAAAAGTTTGAGTTGAGTTTGTTTTGAGATGAACAGTTAAAACAGGGGAAATATTATGAAAACTTATACTAACCTTTGGCAAATTTCAAAATAAACATCGCTATCATTAAAAGCGAAGACGGAATTATGTACGCCATCGTTGATTAAAACAACTCCACTTTACTTCCTTGATCCTTCATGGTCTGATTCTAAAAAACAAAGGTTTTGGTTGACACTTGAGACTCTTCAAATGCTGACTGCTTGGTGTAAAAAGCACAGGGCCGTCGCGAGGCAAGCCTTGTTGGGGGGGGGGGTGGACTACAAATTTATCTGATTAAAAAATTATTGCCTGAAATTCTTAGTTGCTCTCACAAACCTCTGCAATACATTTTGTCAATCTAACTCTGTATATAATTTGCAACTTTCATTTTTATATGATAATAACGGAGATTCCTAATAGCTTTGTCAAATCTCTATGTAATACTGCTAATTTTAGGCCTTTCTCTCTAGTCCATTCGTTTAATTTTCCTTACCTAATCACTCTTGTTTATCTGTAACTTTCCTTGCTCGTTCCGCATTTTTCTATCACGTGTATTAGGATAATCTTTGAGTAACTTCATACCTACGTCAATTATCAGCATGTTAAGTAGATCGCCATAGCAACCCAGTATTTTAGGATATCGCGCTACCCCACCCCGCTCGTTACTAAGTAGATTACTTCCTTTCACCGTTTTATTTACGTATGTCTATTGTTTTTAGTTCAGTATATATGGGGGCCCCGTACCTCATCTTAGGCAGTAAGAATCATGGAAAAGTAGCAGCAAGAGAAAGCAGTTTAGGCATGCACCGTTTTAGGGGCAAGATGCTTGTGAAAGATCTTGTCGCCTTCGTTTTGTCCTTAGTCGTTTAGAGATATTTATAGAAGATTTATCAGTTTTGGAAGACCTCTGGGATAGTTCTTGTGAAAGATTATGTCCATGTCACGCGTTAATTATTATGCCGTTGTTAGCATGCAAGTTATGTAGCTGCCGGGACGATTTTATCGAGAGAAAAGAAGGAAAGATTTAACAGATTTACGTCGCATCATTTATTGGCCATCCTCTGCTTTTTAAAGGTCCTGAGAATCAATCGATTTAAGCAACATTTTACATCTATATTGGGAGGCGGCACCACGGTCGCCCCCGATGGAGGAGGGGATTTTCGAATTTTGACGCTTCTAATTCCTTTGAAAATGCACTCTTTTAAGCAAATTTTACTAAAGCAATCCTCTTAATCCTATTGAAAAATATTTTTTTGCAAACAAATTGAAAAACAACTGGTACATTTTACCGTGGTCTTGAAAAATACCATGTTGTCAGCTACTTCTAAAGCTAGGTAACAAGCAGCACTGGTTGTCATTTTAGATCCCTCTTTCCATCTTAGCATGCCTTTTGAATGTTAAAAAAATCTAGAGCTCACAGTGAATCGCAGTTGACGCTTCTATCGAGAAACTTTAGGGGAAATGGATACAAGGCACAATTTTACATAAAGAGGGCCAACAAGAAACATTCAAATCTTCAAATATTTAGTTTGTTTACCTACATTCATATCAAGGAATATCATATTTAACCAACGGAGCAACTCCCTTTGCTTTATCCTTTATCGATTTCATGACATGAAGGTCTCTGAAATACCTAAAGCGTTTCTTCCACCGAGCGGGTTTTACCTGAAATTTCATATTCAGATACTATTGGGGGTGTGACACCCCCCTACATACCCCGGTCGCGACGCCCCTGAAAATGCGCCAAAGCGGCTTACAAGTCGCGTTAGATGTGGACTATTTTAATCTTTACTATCGAAATCGTCTACAAAGGGTGCGTCTTGTAAAATGTTAGAGATTTTTCTAAAATAAAATCTTTTGCTACATTTATACAATGGTTGTGAAAGCTTTGACAAGTTCTTTAAAATCAAATATGATGCAATATTCTTCGACAAGGGTAATTTCGTTACTACGCGACCCCGTTTATTAAAGAGATAGTGTTTTTAGAGGATTGCAAGATTCTTTGTTTGAATTAAGCCCCTGCTTGGTTGCATTTTTTGGATAATATCTGATAGCCATCTTCCTTAATAAAACAAACTTGCTTATCTCTTTTACTTGATTCCACTTGCCTTTAAAGGGCGCCTTGCGTCCTGGCTAGGGATGTATCCTAAAGTATTTCTTTTGTAGGGGATCTGGGGCTCCAAACAGGAAGTGACGTATTTAGCGGTGACTAAATAGCATGCATAATGTCAACAATTAAAATCACGGAATTGACGCTGCCCAGCGACGGATTTGATTTAGAATATGGAGTCAAGTCAATGAAGTTGTAAACGAAGGCTTGTTCGCAAAGCTGATGAATTGTGATCTGCATCGCAAAAATCTTGTGATAGCAGCAGGATTTTGCTGTCAGCCTTTTGCAGTTTGTTGTATCGCAGCTAGCTAGAATCTTGAATCACTTGTTTGTTTATTGCAACGTGTTGCATTTGCAAGGTAAGAAGATGGGCGGCCTGAGACCTGCCATTTGGCCATAGAAAATCCAATATAAGTATCATTTATGTGTTTGAACAACGGCTGTAGCATTGTTATTTTGTACAACTTAGCTAATCCACTTTATCCAAATTCTAACGAAACCCGAGGGACTATTTGCATAACGTTACGTTTTCAGTTCTGTTTGTTTTGACATGAAACTTACATATGAAAATTTTCCAGGTATGTGTTGTTTGCATGTTACATCAAACTGTTTTATATTGCCCGTTGTGAGCCATGATTACAAAACAAATTGCAATGAAAATGGTTAAGCTGCTTGGGTCAATTTGTGCTTGTCTCAGTAAACAACGAGAGGCAAAGATCTTGTCAACTAGGCACGTAGATGCCTCGCTAGGCGTCCCAACAACGAGTTAATCAACACAAATTTCCTTAGTTTTCTTGATTTTGCGGAATCTGGTTGCTACACGATCAAAACTAGCAGTTTTATTGTGAATAAAGATATATAAATCCAAACATTATATAACAACTAACTGCTAATATTAGGTGTGATTTGCAACTCTTTCAAAACTAAGTTGCCTGGTGGAGAGCACCTAACGTATTTTGAGGTGTCAGTTCTGTTATGAAAATTCCATGGATGGATTATCATCACCCACTGACAATAAGCATTCCATACCGAAATGTATTAGCCAGGATTAAGTAGAAATCTTTTGCTGTGGTCATGTTTGGTTTTGAAAATCATTTAAGATACTAAAAGTATCCTTTCTTTAGAAGTTTTTTCATTATTACAGGCTAAGTAACATTTATTTTACTTCAAATTATGTTCCCTTGTAATTCCTAGGGGCTTATTACACGGAGTGGGCTGTACCCAGTTGCCAGGTTACCAGAGCTACAACTTCCTAACAATTATATGAAAAGCTGGCCTGGCCTGAGAATTGGTGGTAAAAATTTTGGAGGGTGAATCTATTTTGAACGCCATGTTGCAACATTTGTTATTAGCAAAGGTGGTGCCAAAAATCTTCTGACAGAAGGGTTAGAGCTTCCGACAGGGGGGCTAAAATGACTAAAATATGCAGTTTTGGTGCATTATTTTGTCAAATTTGATCCAACAATAGCCTAAAATTTCCTCTGAAGGGGGGCTAGATGCTTCCAACAGAGGGAATGTAGCCCCCCTAGCCCTACCCTTGCACCACCACTGGTTATTAGTTGAACTACTTGCTAAGAAACCATTTTCAGCTATTAAGGCATTGATTTAAAAGTTTGGTTTAAAAGTTAGGGTTTGATTTGTGTATTGTGTATGTTGTTTAAATTCGCATCCTGCATTGAAGGGCTGACACTGCTTGAATTATTACCTGAGCAAAAACATTTAGTTTCAGCCTGCTTTGCAGATCTAGCCTGGTAGGCAGAAGACCGGATCCTTCTAACCAGGCTACACTTTTCCATGTAATAGCATGCTATTGATACTGCAATGCAACCAAAAGAATCCCTTCTCAGTTGGCCAGACCAGCTGGCTCCATGTAATCAGCCCCTGACATATAGTACGAGAATGAAAAGTATTTTTTGTGCATGGGGAATTATTTTTTGTCGCTTAAACTTGGACGGGAACAAATCGTGTTTCAAAATAGATCTGGTTAAAAGTTGCAGGAATTTATCTTTAAATACATGGGCTCATCTAAACACAAGTTGGAAAGTGGGGTGGCCAAGGGACAACTTGACACTTGTAACAAAAGATTTTGAAAAAAGCTCCATTGTTTTGCAAAAAAGTGAAGGGGCCATGCCCCCCCAGCCCCCTTCGTCGGAGGCCCTGAAAAAGCATTTGCAAGCATTGCAGTGAGGCTGTGGAAAGTCTGTGTTGCAACTGCGCAAATTTTTTAATCTAAATTTGCAAAAATATGCGGAGGGGATTTCAGGAAAAAAATTATTGTGCTTTAAACACATTCCCACACATACCCAAACTTTCTATGTGTTCTAGGTATAGTATTGTTTCATGCATTTCCATGGGACTGTGCTTTGAACTCTAAACTTGAGGGCCAACAAAGTGGTAGATGATGTCTTACTAAAATTGTAGAAGTGGTTTGTCCCTGATTTCCTCATGAACATAAATTTCTAGGGCGTATGATTTGCATCGACATAGTGGTAGGGGGCTCAACCCAGTGACACAGAGATGACCCAAGAGCAAGAGGTCTCATTTGATGAAAGGTCTCATGCTTCTACTAATTATTTCATCAATTATATTTATATGGTGCTTCTGTAGGCAACCTAAAAATGGGGAAAACTTTTGGCATATGAAAACTTTGTATATGTTTTGAGAAAAACTGTCATCAAATTGGGAATTTGCTTCCAAAAGGTACCATAGTCACAATTTCGAATAACTTTCTATATATGTTTTATGTGAATCTATTTTATGTAAAAGGCATTTCAGACATAGTGGTTTATGTTTATCTTTGCCATTTTAAAGTTGTTTAGTATAGTTTTTAACATAACAATGCCCATTCATTAACATTATTAAAAAAACATCATTTCGCCTGATGCTATGAGGAATCCTCGTACAATGTGGTTTTTCTGACTGCAGGATCACCCTTTCCTTTCAGATGGGCAATGATGTTGCCAAGCAGCCTCAGAGCAGATTGGATCTGCTTCAAATATCAAAGAACCTTTATGAGTTTATCAATGCAGTCAACCAAAGATATACACTTTACATGAGCCCTGTCATCAAAAATGCAATACAGAGGTAAATTTGTAATGTGATTTTGCTTAGTTCTTTAACTTGCTAAGCATTTTGTGCCCATAATCAGGGCTGCTCAATGGGCTGTGGGGTTCACATTGCCCCTGGGCCTCAAGTTAAAGGCCCACCTCATAAAGTAATGAATTTAATTTTAGGAATGAAATTAATCAAATTTAACAAAAGTATGCCCAAGACAAAAAAGTATAAAACTTTTTAGAGGGTTGCAAGAAAACAACGGCAAGAAATATTCTCAAATGTTTTTAAAGCTAATCTGAATGGTCTATTATAGCAGTTATGGAACAGTTGTCAGCAATTATTGGGGGCTGTGGAACCTGTTTTCAAATGATATTGGAGCATGCACCTCTAAATAAAACCTTTTGAAGCGATATGTGATGTTGAGCATAAATTAACCTGGACCAAAGTGAATGGCTCAATTGAGATGCTTCATTTTGAAAAAATCCTCCAAGGTCTCATGGAACAAGGAAATGCATGTTCAAATAGAAGTCTATTCAAATAAGGAAATTAATTTTGTAAAGCCTGATACTGTGTTGCTTAAACCCATAAAGTAACAAGATACTTTGGTGATAAACTTTTAAGCCTTTTAGGATTATATATCATGGGCTTGTTGACATTGGTGACCAGTGGTTATAACTAGTGGTGTAATATTGATCATCTCTTTTTACTTGTGATAAGATTAAACTCTTGTTGAGAAATGTTTCATAAATAACAACCCTTTGAGGTACAATTAGGACTAGGGTTACAAGTAGGTACCCAATGAAAGAGGTTTTGAATGGGACATTTTGGGCAGGTCTAACTATCTTTCAAGAAAACAATTAAAGTTGCTCTTTCTATTATGTTATCACATGGTTGCATTATACTCTTTTTGCTGCCAGAAATTGTCAAAAAATACAAACAGAAAATGCCAATTCTACCTGCTGCAATTACCCACAACTGATGCTTGGTTAAGGCTAATTCAAAATCATAAAACCAAGCAACAAAAATACATTGCCAACATATGAGCACTCCTCTAACAATAAAATCGATCCTGCCAAAAAGTGGGGTGGGATTTGCCCCCCAGTCCCTTCTGTGGTGCTGCTTTTATTATTTTCTTTGAATGACCTTGCCTGTCATGAGCCACATTGCTGTAAATTTTCATTTCTTTTATATATACTTGATAAGATATAACTACCTAATTGCTAATAACAGAAAATGCAAAAATTGACTGTAATCAACATTATATTACTCTTTTTCCTAGAATATAATCAAGAATATACCATTCCTGAATCCATTTATCATTTGCTCGTGGAGCATCCAATATCTATTGACAGTGATTTATGTCAAGACTACCAGACCTGTATTTTCACAGATGCCTTTCCAATGCCATGCCTTTCCAATCCTCTTATCACCCTACCCCTCCCTATTTTGGTTTCACATTTATGATAAAGTGCAAAACTGAATACTTAAACTTTCAGAGTTAATTTAGATTTCATTAAACCTCTAACTGTATTCAACTTCTCCATGTCTTGTTTGGCAGTCCAACTGGATTCTCCCACCAGGTACTTTCACATCGTCTGCAAACGGCTGTATACACCCTTCTTTTTTTCTTCACACATGACTAACCCACAATGCCAAACCTTGAGTCTCATTCTTCTCCATATTTCCTTTAGACGACGTATCTACACCTCTTCATCAATTTTCTATCATGCCTTCGTACTTGGCAAGGAACTTCTATCTAGTATTATCCCGTTGTAACGTACTTAAAGGGACCGATGAATGAAGTACGTTATATCTGATATACGTTGTAGCCAGTAAGACCAAGTTGAAACAGTGTAACTAAAAAAACTTAATTGTTATAGGCTATATTGTTTGAAGAAAGCTGAAAATCATTTCTGATGTTGTTGACTGCAGCAACAATTTTGGTCAACATCTTCATTTTTTCGTCGGCATTAAACCAATCAGAAAACTCGAAAAATCTTTGTGAAACTTGGACGGCACTTGAATCAATCAAGGAAACAATTAAACAATGATTGTCATATCTTCTTATTATACCCTCCGTCTTTTTGTTATTAACCATATTTCTATAACATATGAAGTATAGAATCTGAACTATTCTTACTTCCGCCTCTGGTCTTAAATGAGGTTTGAAACTCCCGCCAGTTGTTCCACACTATACCAAGCTCTGCGCTTGTATCAATACATCTTCCAAGTGGTAGAGCTCCAGTATTTCTTTACATTTATCTTCACCTCTCTCCTTGATACCAACATTAAACCCATTCAGAACTTCATTTTGTTGGTATCGTCATTTCATAGGATTGAGCAAGCTTTTTACTCTTTGTTTGTTTGTAACACGTTTTTCCTACAAGTGTGAGGTATTCTTAAAAAGACGCCAGCTCCACCACATACCTTCTAAATATTGTTACCTTAAGTTCCAAAATAATTGCAACTTGTACTAGGGTTAAAGAGGAATACAATCCTTTATTTCCTTAATCTTATGTCTGTTTTTGGCAGGTATGAGCAAAAATGGTTGCCACTTGCCGCAGAAAATCTTGACAAAGTGCTAGTTGCCCCTCTTGATATTGAATGGATCTGGTATGTGCACATGATGAACCCTGTTGCCTATGAGGAAGATTGCCTAACACATGCAGGGGGTAAAGTCATCAATCATAAAGTATATTCACGTGAAGAACGTGCGCAGCTTATCCAGGTGACGAAAGAGCTTTGGAACCGATCCTACCCCGGAGAGGTATTTTATGCCGACCTGAAAGACCCCAATCCGCCCGTTGATCCATCGTTTAAGAGTAGCCTTGGTTATGACTTAGAGAAAGCTGTTGCCAAGGAGATGATTTTCAATTACCAGATTGCACTGCCTCATTTTCGCGACGAAAATTTCTTGAGAGAGGCTGTAAAGAGATACTGGTTTATGCTCATGGCTTACAAAGAATCATCAGAGGTCCCAGTTGTGCCATATTCTGATAATGACCTCGTCTGGCACGCGCACATGGCACATCCTAAGATATATAAAAAGGAAACAATTGAATTGTTTTACTATATTTTGCCGCATACTTATAATGATAGTGTGCGGTTGCCAGGTACTGAAGCTTGGGCAAAAGTTACTATCGCAAAGAAGGTTTGGGAGGAAAAGAAAAAGCCGATAGCAGTACCTGGTGGAATGTTTCGTGGCAAGCCTCCAGCTCCCGTTCCGGCCCGTAATCCGGACCGTTACAAAGCATACTCTCACAAAACATATTATCTACAGCCAAAAGAACTCAGAATCAATGATTTTGAGGAAGGAAGCTACCGGGTTGTTGTCAAGTGCGAGTCAAGAGAACCAGAAGTGACCAAAACGTTTATTGTGTATGACAGTGGGTTCTGCAAACTGCAAGATATTTTCTCCAAGAAGTTTGATTTTGATGCTGATGAGTCAAGGTTTATATTGAGTACAGATAGATTCTATGGCCTTTCTATTTCCTTGTACAAAGAGCTTAGCGAAACCCTGTTCGAAAGTTACGTAGCCACATGTGATTTTCCGCCAAAGTCACTGGTGGGGAAGAAGATATCAGAATTCATGTTGTCAATAACTTTGAAGTTTGCTGGTCACATTGATAAAACAGGGAAATCTCCATTACCTAACAAAGAGTTGCGACAATTCATGGGTACATTCAGTCTTCGCTGTCCTATCATTAAAGCTGGAGACTACTCGCTGCAAGTTCAGAAGAAAGAAAGCACTTTCAGGTCTTATCAAAGTCTTTCAGAGCTGCTTCAGTTGCCTGGAGTGGTAATTCCTTTCCATGTTGACAAAAGAGATATTGCGTGTCACTATGCAGACCATTTTATAGTGGGAAGTCTCGGAGAGCCCGCGTTTCATCTGCGGGTCGTGCACTGCCTCTTACCCAAAGTCTCTGTTGTTGAAGTCGCCGATTTCAATTCAGAAATGGTGGCCAGTGCTCATGTTGTCGATAATGGGACGCTTCCGAGTCCTATACAAGTCCTAGAACCAAAATCCTGTGTAACTTTAAATCCACAAATTCACAGGGCTATGGTGGTCCGTGGTGAGAGTTGTGACTGGGGAATTTTGAGGGCTTCCTGGCAAGGGTACCGGAAATTCTTCAACCCCGGCTATCTTGCTGTTGAATTTTTCATGCTTGGTTTGAATCCCCAACAGTGGATTCCCGTCCATTGCAGTGGGCCAAACAAGACCGTTTTTACCCTTGACCTAAGAAATTATGAAGAGATTGCATGTCAGGTGACTGTTGATGTTTCAAGTGCGACGGTCCGTTTTTTGGGGACAGCTTCGTATGTACCAGAATTGTTTTGTCTCTCCGCTTGTATTGCAGTATTATTCACCTTGTGTCAGACAAGGGAGCCACCACCAACAGACAATGAGGGTAAATTGTTGCCTTATTCGACGCTATCAAAGAAATCTTTTCGATTGGATGTCGACAAACTTGACTATGTCGTGAGTGCTGGGTTATATTGTCAATCTCTACCTTGTAAATATGAAGTCTAGTTTTGCCATACAGCTTATTTTATCGAAAATCATCAGAGGCAGGGGATTGATAGGTCTGGGGGCCATTCCCCACTTTCGTACATTTCAGCCAAAAACTGGCCTCCTCGTGTGATGACTTTAGCTAGCCCAATTTTTCAAAAAATAATTTTAGGAGTCGCCATTTCAGCTAAAAGAGGGCGTGTCGAAGATAATTGTCAGTGGGTCCCTTTACCCCTCTATTTACACTGCCCACACTGCTTTTAAGTCAACGTATTATATTTTATCAGCTCATTACGTTTCTGCCTAGTCTTTCCTTTGGATTTTTGTTTGAGTTTACTAGATTTAAGCTTTCCTTTAGAGTGGGATGAGTTGATTAGCTGGCTAATCTAAAGAAATGAAATCAACAATATAGTTGAGAGTTGAGAACAGCAGATACATACAAACGTATTCTTAACGGACGTGGGAGTTAAATAGGTTGGTTTTTCTTAATCGATTAAGGTAGCTTGCTTGCTTGCTGTGGTGTTGTTTCAAAAAACTACTCATCCAGTAGTATTCCGTGCTTTGTTTTAAGGTTCGCGAGCTAAATTACTGCTGTAAAGTTGAAACAGTTTTATTGGGACTAATTTTGAAAAGCAGAAGAAACAATTCCGTTACCTCAAGGAATTAATAAAGACGCATTTTAAATGATTTTCAAACAACTGTATATTTGATGTATTTATCTGTTTGTGTTCACCATTTTAGTCATCAGAGGGATTTTGTCATTGTCCATGTATGATTAATCAATCACAAACTTGTCATTATTTTGTTCTTCGGTAATTTATCAGCCAGGTAGAATATTGTGTAGTAAATTTCGTAGTTGATATTTTATGATGATTTATTTATTATAGGCCTATTTATGATATTGTAGCACCGTAGGGGTAATTGTGATACTTGAATAAATGAACCGATTTCGTGGTTTTTTTAGGGATAAAATTGCTTGATGCTAACATTCGAGGTTCTTGACATTCGTAAATGTTGATATGAATTGATAGTTTTGTAGATGTATTCGCGATTGGTACTTTTTTCTGTTCGTGCTTGATGAATGTTTGATTTATCGAATGATAGGTAATTATGGTCCTTTCGTTTCATTCATTTCCATTTAATTTAAATTCCTTAGGGTTGTTTTCCTTCATTTAAAACATAGGATACAATTTATAAAATGGAATGAAAATGATAGATATTCAGTCCGACTACGTAATGTGGTTACAAAATAGGCCATGGCAAAAAAGGACGTGTCAGAAAACCTGAAGGAAAGACAATACTGAAGAGTACCTGCACTGAAACGCATTATCAAATTCGTAGTTTTACTTGCTCGTTATTGATGCTGTTCCGTAGAACGCACCCACGTGTTCCATACCATCGAGCACTGACTCAAGTTCCCATGAAATTATTTCACTGTTTCTCTCCCATAACTTTTAATTGATGCAACCATTTACTAAAATGATTCCAATTTCCCACTGATATTTGAAAAAGTGGTAAATTTCATTAGTTTTCAACTTCATAGCGACGTTGGCGTGATTTGTATCTTCCCGCCAAAACATTTGTGTTAGTGGCCTGGGTCTGAGAGATGACATTCGGAGATTCCTACTACTACACCTGAACACCTGAAAACCAATAGGCTTGGACTTTTTTCCTCAAAAACATGAAATGAAAGTATTATTGTAAAGAGGTGTTCTTATCATTTGCAAAGTATCTTAGCAGTATCAGTTTTTTGACAATTAACCGTAGCAAAGAGATTCTTTTAATACAGAATTTTTATAGCTATAAGAACATTATTTGGTTTTACGTTTTCAAAGGAAGAAAATATACTGGTTTGCTGTCTTAAGAAATCTATTCTGCATGAATAAGCTTTTAAGAGTTGTTGAGCCCTCCAACCAAGGCTCCAAGGGGGCTCCAACGTAGTTAGCGCCTATGGGAAAACACATTCTATTTTCTAGAATTTTAGATTTTGGAAAAAATGGTATGCATTTTTAAAAAACTCAATGCGTACCTGGGCCTCTAAAAGACTAAAAAAATAGCCACAGAGTTTCTATTCGATTATCTGCCATTTGACTTGACACCTCAAGACCCTGGTACCAAGGGTCGTCAGTGTGTGGCTTTTTAAAGTGTTTGATTCCATGGATGGGTGTGTCCAGTGTAACAACACACTAAATAACTAGAGAAAGGAAAGGGTGATGTCGAGGTCCATGACAGTTAACTTACTGCAAGGACCAGAAAGCCTACTCCTTGTCACTAAAAAATTGTAGAAACAGTACTTTACAAAATTGAAAGAAATAAATTGGGTTCCTCTGGCATCCCTCGCTGCATTCTTCCCTATCTTTGCTAGAAACTGGGGGCAAATCCTCCAATGCTATACGTCCCTTAATGTCATTTGGTCTCAACATTTCATGCCAAACTAAACTATAAAACAGAGATTCCTAGCTCTAGGAGATCAATATACATGATAGACCATTAAGAGACATAAGGGTAATGAGACTTCAGGGTAACACTGTTCTCCAGAACGACACTCCTGAGCAGGAAACAATTCTCAGATTAGCTTTTTCAAATTTTAATACTGCAGTTATTACTTAGGGGAAAATAAAACATTTTCAACCTGAGCTTCTAACTACAGTTGCCTGATGACGTGGAATCCGAAGTAGCAGTTTAGAACTGTCCTGTTCTATCCATCAAACTTGACTTGCAGTACAAAATGATCCCTATTTATCCGAGCAATCGACATACTTTCTTCCATAGCTGATTTAAGTCTTCAGCTGAAATGTCCATTACCAATCCATCTTTGTCTCAATTTTACTGGCTCTAAAAATTTTTAGAATAAGATACCTCTTTTATTTCTAAAATCATTTATTCTAGAACTAGGTAGACGAAACTTCACTCTCTATCCTGCCCCTCCTAGACTCTTGATCCTCCTTGGCCACCAAACTAGCCAATGAAACCCTGATACTGGTCTCAGCGGGCCAATCACCATCCAGTTTTCCTGCTTGCGCGGATAATTCGAAGTGCATCACAGCAACCATTTTTGTGTTTGCCCACAATGCTTTGCCTATCGCCTTGAATCAAGTTGGCGCCTAATCATGAAGGAGGAAATCATGCCGTGATGCGACTTCAATTCGAGGTGATCTGGCAACATGGAATACATTGATGAACAACAGGACTTTCATGGAAATTCTGATTATCATTCTAGGTAAATTTTGTGTATTCTGTTTGGTGTTTTTTTTTCTTTGGTCTTAGACTTTGTAAAATGTTTTCCTAGGCCATTTTTTGCCACTCGTTTCTGATTTGGTAAAATGTATAAAAATTTCGCGTTGAATTGAAGATGATATGCAATTTGCTCTTAAAGCAGGCGATCCTTAGAAAAACATGCTTTTTTCTAATTTTCTTTTACCTTTGTTTATATGAAATCGAAAGCCTTCGATCACAAACATATACCCAGTGTTTGACTTTGTCCTCGTGCGTGTGTCATAAAACAACAGATAGCCAGATAGCCACCTAAAAAATTGACAATCCGAAAAAAATCGAAACATTTCTGTGCTTCATTTGCTATACCAAACAAATGCACTGTAAGATCAATAGCTGTACTTATAAGGCTTGATATATAGCATTTTGTATGCAATCATATTTTTTATTTTTTCGGACATCGAGCCTCAGCCTCTGATATAAATCCACCAATTAGCATTTTTGCAAGGTACTTTTCAGTAGGAGTGAATATTTCAAGGTCACTTAGAAAGAGGTGCAACTGGTGCAAAGTTTATCCCAATATAGCTGGTATCAATTTTTGTCTTCTTCAGTTGAATTTTGATTTAACAAAATTAAAGCATCCATGGATAAAATTGTTTGAATAAATTTTATTTAATTTTTATCAGATAAAGATTTCTAACTTTATACCAGATTTTTTAGAAAACACTCACTGTTACTTACAGTTCAATCATGGTAAATTAACGTAACCCATTCACTCACAGCTACTTGTAGCTCAGAATAACACAAACATCAATAAATGTTTGCCCCTGAAGGAGAAAAACCAAATATTCTGCTTTCAGTCTGTTTTGCTCTTGCTTGTTGCTGGTATCCCTGAAACTCAAAGCCCTCACAGTTATACATTGCCAAATTCATACACACCTACCAGCCTGGGATTTTTATCAAAGATTTTTTTAAAGTTTTGGAAAATCAAATTTCCACATGGCCTAATATGACAGTCATATACTACATTTATTGAAAGCTTAAAAAATACAATTAAAGAGTTAGGTGACATGGCAATGTATTTTAATGATTGTGGTAAATTTTTCCAAAAACTTCTTCCTAACTTCTCAATTAAATTATTTGATGCTAACCAGAAAGCTGATTGTAAGGTTTGGTCAAAGTAAAATAACAAAAAAGTTGTATATATATTCATTATTAATTCATATTGTAGTTATGTTGGAGCAAGGTCATTAGAAAGACTTAAAAAGAAGAAATGCTCAAAGGAAAGATGGTCGTCTGAAGAGGTATTATGATATTAATAAACATTCTTTCAATTCAAACATGTTTACATAATAAAAGTTTTTTTGCAAATTCAATGAATGATAGGTTCAATTTGCCTTCAATTCCAAAAGTATTTCATACTTAGATTTGAGGGACAACTTTCAGATTATTTATACATTCAGAGAGTACATCTTTTTGCACTTTTTTGTTAAATCTTTTGTACAACAATGTATATAACTGCCTTTTTGCAATTACAGAGTAATCATATATCAGCTTGTAAAGTAAGATTCACAAATTCTATGTTCATTTTTATTCCTTTTTCACCAACTATTTCAATTTATTTATAAGGATGAAAAGTTGAAGAAGCTGTGTTTGGTCATTGGGACTGATGACTGGAGTGTCATTTCAAGTCACTTCCCCTTCCGGACTGATGTTCAATGTCAGCAACGATGGGAAAAGGTCTTAAACCCAAGCTTAGTTAAAGGTGCTTGGACAAAAGAGGTACATGACACTGTAGTCATTCTTATATGACAGAATATGTTCTTTTAAGCTTGTTTGAATTTGGCGTTTGGAGACAGATATGTGCATGCTTTTATGAACAGAAGAACCAATCAACAGATGACTTATTATCAGTTGCTAGCAATGATCACATTGTCTGTGCATTTTACAGTAAGAAATTGTGACAAAACCTTGTCTGACAGCTTTTTTGAAATAATTGAAGCTCTCAAAACAGTTTTGATTAGCGGCCAAAAAAATTTTCCACAAGATCAGTTAAAAAATAAGTCAACAAGAGAATACAAGCAACATGAGGGGGCAGTTTGTGCTATCATATTATATTGTCGTCTGTGATCCCAGTTGTAAAGCAAATTGCATCTGAATATGATAGAATGCACCAGCCCAAAGGCATATTTCTGCTCAGTTTGATATGGTTTTCAATGTAAAAAAGTACTTTTCTTTTGCTGGTGTTTCATTTCAGTTATATAATGTTTATAAAGCAGACTTTGCAAAAGTCAAGCTATTTTGTATGGACGGTCTATAGTGGTTGTGATCTCTTTTGAAAGTTTTTAGATAATTCCTGATGACCTTCCACTGCTAATGATCCTATTGGTCTTAATAAACATTTTAATTTCCTTCAATAATTTCTTTTTATATCTATTTCCTACTCTTTTCTCACTTTCCTCCCATTTCCTTATCTTATTCTATGGTTGCGTTGCATCTTGCATTCTTTTCTATTCATTGAATCTCGCCTCCTCTTTGCTTGGCTCTTTTCTTTTCTAGCCACTTGATAATGAGTGCATGCTCAAAACATCGTGTTTTTTAACAATCCAAACAATTATATTTTTATTCTGGTACTAAATTTATTTGCTAACGTTATAAATTATTATGTAGTGCAAAATTAAAGTAAGTAGATAGTTTTTTACCATTTTTCTAAGATATGAAATTTTTAATAACTTTAGGAAGACGAGAAAGTCATACAACTGGTTGCAAAGTATGGCCCAAAGAAATGGTCTCTTATTGCCCAGCATCTTGATGGAAGAATAGGCAAGCAATGTAGAGAGAGGTATTAGCACATTCATGTATAATGTGATATTGAGAAACAGGCCCAAGAACCATTATACCTTTGAATATACAATGACTCCGGATGAAATATGAGGTTAAATTTTGCATCAGAAATTCCAAGTAGAGGGATCCAATTCAAGGACACTTTCCACTATGTTTATTTTGTTCATTTTGCATAAGGAGTTCTAATGGACTTCTGAATCTTTATTTTCTGTGACTACCCTTAGATGGTGCACTTTGATGACCAATGTTGAAAAATGAATATTTAGAACTAAAGAAAATGAATATCCGTGGAACATGGCTGATGTCTAGAATAGGGGCTTTCTCGTATATATACAAGTAGAGCCAGTGGTTCAAAGATCTATCTTAAAAAATCTTTTTTATATTTATTTTTTTAATTTTTATATATATTTAAAAGTTTAGATTGGTAGTTGGCTTTCAGGCGTTTTTGGTTTTCCATATGAAGCAAGTATGCTTTTCAAAGTAATCTGACCTGCAACCAAATCTCCATAAAAACACCTCCCCTCACCTCCCACCCATTAGCAGACAGCTCAACTGATAATATTTCTCCTTGTCTTTTGGCAGTTGAATCCTTGGAGAAGTGGCCAAGTGTCAATATTAAAAAAGTTACCTGTTGTTTTGTTATTTATGTTATAAGCATGTAATTGAAAATTACTTTCTTTGTAGATGGCATAATCATTTGAATCCTGATGTCAAGAAGTATGCATTTACAGAGGATGAGGACAAAATCATTTATGAAGCTCATCAAGTTCTTGGGAATCGATGGGCAGAAATAGCCAAGCTTTTACCCGGCAGGTGAGCTTAGATTCGTTTGAAGCACGGGTGCAAGACAAGTGTAAAAGCCAAGCAGCCCTGTACTGCATTATTTGATAATTTCTCTGCTGCAATACTCATGTTTCAAGTCATTTTGAAAAATCTTAAAAAAAGAATGAATTTAACAAACTAGCTGCCTGTGTTATGAAAAAACATAAATAGATGATATTCTTTCTGTCTAGTGTATATACTGTAATGTTTTTTCGATGTTTCCTAATAGGTGTCTTAGAAATATAAGCTATATTTTTATATATTATATATATTTTCATTAGAACTGATAATGCAATTAAGAACCACTGGAATTCAACAATGAGACGGCAATACGAGCCTGAATACCAGGAAAAGAAAAGAAGAAAAATTGAAACTACAGAAAAAAGAACACGTAAGCAATAAGCGAAAGCCATGTATTGTTTTATTAGTGTACCTTTGTGCAGAAAAATGATGAAAGACAGCTGGAAGAATATGGACGCTTAAAAATCTTTTTTATTTGTAGCAGATCAGTGTTAAGTGCTTCATGGAGGTCTGTAAGGGGATATGATATTAGTCTATTCATTCTATGGCACAAGTTTCAAGTTTGTTTTTTGCTGCCTCCTTTTTAAGTTTTAGACCTTGCTAAATCTCCCATTTCTTAAGATCAATTGGTAGTAATTTAATTTAAATGCAGTACTTCTCTAAATTTACAAAGCAGGTTGTCACGAAGAGAAGAAAATAAAGCGCAGAATATCGTCAGGGCAATACGAAATTGACTGCAAAGCACCGTTCTCTCGATCATGTGGCACTTTCTTCCCAAACATACAAAAAACGCCGCCAAATACAACTAACACCATCAAGCAATTTACATTAACTGTTCTCGACTCGGGTGATGCTGTAAAGGTGAGTAAAATCAACTAACATCTTCAGGTTTTTTATGGTTTTATTGCTCCTTCACCAGCTTCAGGAAGAGGTGAATATTCCTTATACTCTTTAGGGTTTTTCACGACAAAAGTTATCGAACAGTGTATTAATAAAAACAAAGTAACATTATGAAGAACTAGTAAAACAGTGTTCTTCAAAACATAAGGTTTTGTATATCCTTGATTTCCAAGGAGAAGAAGTAAAAAATCTTCGTCTTGCTTTCTTCTTAATCCCATAGTCCCAAGGAGAAGAAGTAGAAATTCTTCGTCTTGCTTTCTTCTTAATCCCATAGTCCCAAGGAGAAGAAGTAGAAATTCTTCGTCTTGCTTTCCTCTTAATTCCTTAGTTCCAAGCGAAAGAAGTAGAAAATCTTCGCGTTGCTGTTTTCTGAAGATGTTTGCAAAATTCGATACGAGGTTTATGAACATAGCTTGCTGATTTAAGCCAAATTTATGTTGTGACTGCATCAAAATTTGCTTTCCAGGTCTCAAAACTGACTGATAAGTCAAACTTGGTGGCACCAAATGCTATCAAACTTGAGCCACCTGATCCTGACCCCTCCCTGCTGATGTCGCCGTTTCCAAACGTAAATTCCAGCGATATGTCTGATATGCTTGGAGATGTTGGTATGATCGAACTTCTATCCCCAAGGACAATTAAATCCATGAACGAAGCGGCAGCACTACCGAAACCAAAGCCAGATTTTCATGAGGATGAAAAAGAAAATTTGATTCTCGAAAGACTATCGCGCAATTCCCGTAAGTTTAGAATGCTGTCACTTTTTTGTCGCATATCAGGATTTGGTAAATCATAACACCTCTCTTCTAATCAGCCTCCCCACCCCCTCCTTTAAGGCAGTGGGACCTTTTCAGCATTCATTTATCTGTTGATTAAAATAGGTTATTCGTTGCCAAATGGTCCCTTTGCATAAATTTATCGCATTAGCATGGCAGGATTATGAAACACATTTTCCTGGTTGTGTTCCTACATTTTACTTATATCTGTTGGATCAACTATTGTTAACACAGCTTATGACTATGTTCCTGATATTACGGTTAAATTTCTTTATTTTCTTTACGGTTTTCTTTACATTTTTTTTCATTGCATGCATAGCCATAATGTTTTTTCAAAACTGTCTTTTGGGTATGATTTTCTTTCAATTCTATTTTTTTTAGATACTACTACAGCAGGATGCTCTACGTCTCATATGAGCACGTCAAGGTAGCCTTGTTTGTGCATTTTGTTTGTGCAATCCCTTCGCATTACCTATTCATCTTTCATCTATTAATCTTCATTAGTTTTTATTTTTTTATCGTTAGTATTTTGATTTTTTTCACGTATAAAACTATTAATTTCTGGACTGCTCACATTGTTCAATGAGTTAGAAGGCATGTTAGATCAAAGGAAATTTTCGAAAAATGTTAATGACCACATTAAATTACCTGAAACTTGAGAATGAGTAAATACCGCGAAACTAATGGGTTAGATTTATAGTCAAGACTTAAACAAGAGTTTTGAAATAAAAAAGCGTACTCCTGCAATTTTTCAGATTTTTGAAATGAAAAAATTTGGAAATACAGCCCAGATTGAAGTGCAAAATATTAGCGAATTTGTACATGCATATCTTTACATTCTGCATGCATGTCTAGACTTTCCATTCAACGGTAGCACCACTTCTCTTCTACTGCTGTTTTATTCAAGGGGAAAATTTTTGCTCTAAGCTTGCACTAGAAGATCATCCGTAATTGTTTATTGATGTTTTTCTTTTATGTTTTATTCGTTTCCGGTATGTCCCTTGATAAATTTTTCCTTAAATTTTAAACCGAAATCCGTATCTTCTCCCAGTGCACAAACGGAAGTATCGTCAACGTTCCACGAGAGCAATAGATTTACGACACCTCCTGCGATCTTACGACGTAAGCGTAAAGCTGTATCCTTCTCCAAGCATAAAATTGTTTAATATGCTTAATATATATATCTTATCGCCTTAAATTCATACGCTATTTGCTTAAGTTTAGCTAGGTTTAGCTGTAGCCAGAAATGCAAACAATGATTAGCCGGCATTCTTTAATATATAATTCAAATCCTAGTTATGCATAATGCAAATTAGCTACAAGATGGTTAATGTAGATAAAACATTTCAAACTAATTTATTTGTAGTGTTTTTGTAAATGTAATATTGCCCCTTAAGATTTTCATGAATAAGTGGATGCCAGTAACTACGAATTATCTTTTTCGGTCTTTATTCAAATTAGATTTTATTGTCAAATTCTGGTCTCACCGAAGATTGTTTCAAGATACTTCAAGAAAAGATGGATATATTAAGCTTAAGTTGTATCAAGGACTCAATATTTTGAAGGATCATTCTGAAAATGTTGCTGGCTTGCAAAAGAGTCTGATTTTGTTCTCCGACTACCTTCTAATGGACCTGATTTCTACTTTCAAACCCTTTTTTGGCTGAAGGGGACTGCTTGGTTCTTTAAAAACAACGCGGTTATGTGCGCCCACGAATTTCCTGATAATGTTAATAGTTGCCTCGTTCTGGTTCTGCCATTGCCCTTGCCAGGCCAAATATCTTTTCACCCAACAGTGTAGGGTCCTATATGAAGTTGATAATGATGATAAGAAGGATGTATATTAAATGCCTACTGTTGACAGTTTGTTCAAGTTATAGGCTTTTCTGATTTGTCAATCATACTTTTTTAAAGCCATAACCTAGCCATAACCTGTTTAATATAGGCCATATTTATCTTAACTGGCAAAAGCCTAAAGAAGTCCCACAAGCCGCTCAATTCACGATGACGTCATTCCACTGTAGTTTCACGTCGCCATCCAGACAGACACCGCTAAAGCAGCTACCGTTTTCGCCTTCGCAGTTCTTCAATAGTCCTTCTATGAACGAAGTCAAAATGTACACTTCAACTCCAGCGCGAACGACTGCAGGCAGCTCGAAAACGCCACTGTGCACTCCATCGAAGGCAGAATCTGTCACAAAAACACCTTTAAATGAAACTGTAAAGATGTCAAGTGATGGAGAACTTGAGACCCCACGAATTAGATACTCACTCATTAACAAAACACCAAGAACCCCAACTCCACTCAAAATTGCGCTTGAAAAGGTCACCTCGACGAATATCTTGGTGTGTTTTACCTTATGATTTTTCACTCACAGAAGTAAACTCTTTCCTTACCAATGTTTTTGAAGTTTTATCAGAATCGAAAAATACCTTTTAAAATCGCGGTAAAAAAGAAATTGATGAAGTCATAAAAATCTAATATCTTTTGTCAATGAAAATCTTTTGTTTCAAACTCACCAAAGCCAAGACTACATTATTTTTATTAAACATCAGGTATTTCAAAGGTAGACATTTACAATTAATTTTATTCTATAGTGTTATTTCAGATAGAAAGATTTTTATAAAGCCATATTTTAGTTCGTTTATTAAAACTTTGAAGGTTAAACTCTGTTTTCAGTAAACCTGATACTTTGTCTCACAGAATTCGCGCTTTCGCCATCTTTGCTAGGTATTTGTTGCATGATCAAAAGGTATTGACTTTTTCTTAACCAACCTATACCTGTTCACTTTCGTTATAAACATCATAAGCACCTTTCTAAACAGTGTAAAACTCAAACTTCCAGGGTCTCGGATCTTCTAAATTCATCGATATGTCATCAATAAACATTAAAGATGATCCCTCGAAAAGTGACCTTGCCATCAGCAAAGGTACTCCAGACCATGACTATGCCAAAGTACAGGATGTGAGCCAGAAACCTATCAGTCAGCATGCCGCGTTCCGTATGAAAACAGCAACAAGTCTTCGGCGGTCATTATCATTCGATGCACCTGATCAGCTAGATAGAATCCCGGACCAGAATTCTACTGCAGATCAAACATCTACGCATTGTCCGGTAAGAGTCATTAACATTGTAGCTTTGTCTGTTTTCAGAGCTTATATGCAGGGGCGGACACTTGGTCAAATATTGGGGGGGGGCAAGCCTATTGTTTTAATAAGATGACGTCACATTTCCCATTGTTTTCGAACAAAAGACCATTGTCCTCTAAAGTATTGGGGGGGCCGTCGCGCCCCCCCCCCTCCCAAGTGTCCGCCACTGCTTATATGATCAGTAGATATCCTGATTCTCTTTATTAACGTAATGTTTTATATTGCCTGGTAATATTGTTAGACCTCTCAAGTTTGCTTATCGATTTTGTCGTCTTCTTCCAAGCTAATGTTGATTTTTATAATTTATCAAGTTCCGCAGCATTTTCTTCCGAAGTATTTTCTTTCTTAGCTTTTCCACAAAGAGATGTGTTTTCCACAGCAAAGTGATGTAACCAATATTTATACTGTTGTCCTGGACGTAGGAAGGGGCAGTGACTATATGAGTTTAACTGCCTAAACATTTCATGAAAATAATCAACTATACTACCATATGGGCGTCCGTACACCACGCAATTGGGATGTATGCAATATTAATAGACTGAAAAGAAGTCTATATCATGCTTAACAGCTTTCTTTACCATTCAAGTAATTTCGCAAACGATTTGCTGGCTCTAACTTTAGGAAACCTGTAAAGTGGTGAACTGAAGTAAGATTTTTTGAAACAGTTAAGCATACCCTCCACTATTAAGACCTTCCTGAGATGGATGCGTCCAGACAAAATAAATTTGCCCTAAAATTTCTTCGCATCTTACTAAACTTTATTTAGCACCTCCATGTAACAACAGACACCCCACAATCAGTAGCTAAGACCCAACATATATCCATACTTAGGCTTTACTGGTTTTATTTTAAGAAGCTTTTCCTCTATATAAAGCCAAAATGTCCGAGGCCTTGAATGTGGACAAACCCCTTTAACGGGTTAAAATAATAACAACGAGAAAATAATGAAAAAATAACAACAAGAAGAAAAAGCAACATAAACCGTAACAGATTAACTGAAATTAATTTCAATTTACTATTTGTTTGACCTCGTAGCATTATCTAAGCAATAGACTTTTCCACAGCTAAATACTACGCCGAAAACGGTATCTTCAATTGCTTGCAACGGTAACTCGTACGTACTACTACCGATGCTGTTCTTTTTCTGTCCGTGGGTAAAGCACGCCCAATGCTTTTGTAGGGCTACGATTACAAATCCTCGAAGACACGCTTGTCACGAGAATAAATACCACGTGTCCCCGAGGACATGCCTAAAAAACGCTAAACAATCTAATTATAACAGAGTCAAAAGTCCAAAATAGTTCTACGTAAACAACAACAAATAAAATAAGAATAAAAACAATCTGTTTTCTGCAATGAGTAAATAGAACTTGAAAAAAGTAGATCACAAAAAGAATCATAACTTCTTTATTCAGCTTCTTGTTGTTGTGTTGTCTACTAATTTAGGGCTAATTTAGAAGCTTGCTTTAGCGTTTAGGCCTTTACCAAAAGTCAAAACGGACATAATTTCCTTTACTTTGTCAATCTGAAAGTTCTTTTAGTTTGACTAGAACCTTTTGACATTGGGTGGTCGGCAATTTATTGGATAATAATAATGACCTCTTCTTGCTTAAAATATTCCTCTTCATGTCTTGTTACACTAATACGAGTTTCGTTATATTTCACGAAGCTTTGCTATTAAGCCTGAAATCCAATTCACCTACCCTTGTTTCCCATTATTCGATCAATGGACTTAAGAGCATATATCCACATCTCAACCTATTTTTGGTCGTTGTACTCTTTCAATCTCTATTTTCTTTTAATCGATCCTAGCAACCGGATTGAAGCAACTTTCGTGTCAATTACTTTTAAAGCGCTTTTGAAAGGATCCCTTCATAAACCTCTCGTAGATTTATGAGACATATCATCAGCAAAATAATGACCTTTTCTCTGCCTCCGGCTTCAAAAGCGTTTTTCATTCCAAAATCTAGACTCTGGTAGGCTTCGTCGATTATCTAGGCTTGTCATTCTTAACATGGGAGTTTCTGCCTACAGTTTTTGGCAGTTTATTGCAATAGCTACTTAAGAATTTTTCTTTGATTGATTGGAAATCTTGGTAGAAACCTTGCATCTTTACGGTTTTTTTGCAGCACCACCTCTGCCTTATCTTTGTCGCAATTTTTGTCCTTTCACTCAAATGTTCTCATGTTGTTGCATATCTGTACTTGTTATTGCTTCGGTTTTCTGGTCACCCTATTCAAACCTCGCATTTCAGAGCGTCGATTTTAGTGCTGTTTGATGCCTCCAGCATGATAAATTGTAGTTGATAGCTTCATTTCCTCTTTGCATTCTGCTATCAGATATAGACATCTTAATTATTTGCTTATCCTACTGTACTTGTTTTTCCTTAGTTTGAACCCTTTAGTTCCTACAATCATCCCTAATGCCAAACTCTTTCATTTTAGGAGGATACGATAGTTTCTCACGGATTATTCTCTATATCAACGCCAACAAGCACCCCTTTCAAATCCAAGCAAGTAACGGTAATCCCGTTACAAGACCTCATCGACAATGACCAGTTCAAGACACCGTCAAGCAACTTCTTCATTAATGCGCTGCCACTCCAGTCTTCACAAATAACCGACTTGTCAACTATTTCTGAAAACGGTGCATTCAAGGTAAGCCTTGATTACGATTCTTATGTAATGAAATTTATTGCGAATTTTATTAGGGGGAAAGTAGTGGAACCTTGGGAGTAATTTTTTACGACTGATTTCACCCTTACGACACTGAAACTTGTAATCGTGTTCTAATGTGATTATTCGGTTTAGAAATATATTCTCTGATTAATTCCAGGTCCCTTATAAGAAAAGACCTCCCGTGAGAACTCTTCGGTTTCAAGAAACGCCAATCAGAATGAGTTCTATTGTAAGTATTGTCTCAACGTCTGTCATCATCTCTACGTTACCAAATGGTCTTAATGATATAAGCAAACTCCCTAAAAGTGATTATCTAAAGTATGAAGTAAGACTAAGGTATATTTTTCATCCAGTTTATGATATTTGAGAACTGTCTACTTTCAAAAGTCTGCATTGGACAGTGCTTAATTACGTTTTTGTTTAAATTGCTAAGAATAGTACAAGATTTTGCGAGTACTTAACTGCAAAGCATTGTTACCCAAAGTTGAGATCACTCCGTGAACTCATTTGTGTGAGTTTGGTATTTAAAATAAATGGGTAACAGGAGTCTAAACACCAACGTGAACGTATAGCAAAATATTAAAATTTATCGTTAATTTCTTAAAGATTTGGTTAATTCTCTACTGGAGAATTGTCTGGGAGACTCCAACAAGGGAAAGATGTAACTGGCTGCTTTAATCTTTTTCACTTCATTTTGATTTTATTTTTCTCTCGAACAAATCCCTTCAGTATAAAAGAACTAGATGATAAGCTAAAAGAATTTCGTTTGGAAACATTGTTTCATGATTGTTTCATGAGATATAAGCCTAATTCAAAATTTGATTGCTATTATTGTTCTGGGGCTTAGACTTTGAAGTTTGTCTAGACCTTGAATGGCTTTTTTCTTTTGTTTAAAACGATTGTTAGTTTCTCACGAATTTCGTTTGGTGTGTGACTCTGTCGAACACCTTTGTCCTCGAAGCTCTCATCTGGCTGAGAAGTTCTAATAAGGAAATTAACTTTTTTAGTTTGAGTAAAATCTTATCTATTCAGGAATGTGATCTTTTCTATTGATTTATGCTCATCCACATCTTGATAAGAGTATCTGAAGTTTATAAGCTTCATAATTTAAAGACTCAAACAAATAATTTCGCTGCTTCATGCCATCTTGATGTTTTGTAGCAGTCATTGAAAAGTGCTGCTCGAAAGCTTTTGTCATTTTAAAGTCTATTCTTTTTTCAAAGAATTGTTATTTTCGATACTCCATCATTCCCCAATCTTTTAGCTCACATTTCTTTTCTAGACACCTGAAAGCTTCCGAACTGTCGCTTGTGGCCAGACAGAGGACCAGAAACTCTTAACAGAGCAGGCAAGGCAAATAATGGCAGAAGTGAAGAAGTTCAGGCAAGCTGCACGCTCATTGCTACTGTGATATCCTGACTTTTGTAAATTAACCTTTAAAATATATCGTAGCATACACTTTCAAAGTGGGCGTTCTTAATGTGAAAAGCGTTCGTTATTGCGGCTTTCTCGCAGTTGTTTAATTCGTATGTAAAACAGATGACGATGGCAGGTAAGGTATTGGGTAGTAGTTAAAACTATGGCTGATTTCAATGGCTACGACAGAAATTTTCTCTCCAATTGTCAGGTAGGCCATACTGCAAAGAGTCATTTTCTTTATGGCTAAGTCTGTTTTAATGATATTTGAAACGGGATGTGGAGTAGTAATTGTCTTTTCAATTAGGTATCGTGGTGATCATCAGAACTTTGATTAAAGCAATAATGTTATGGAATCATAATTTTAAGGAAGGCTTTTGATTTCTTTATATTTTTTTGAAGCATCGACGTGCCCACCAGATATTTAGCCCTGCCTTAAACCCTATAATCCTTCTTGGAATTTTGGCCTCTTGATCAGAAATTGTAATTAGCCATGTGCAGAGAAATGATTTTCATTTGAACAGATTATAATATGAAAGAATGCTCTGTTTCATTTTGGATCATCATGATATCTGATTGGATATAGGATATTTCTGTCGGTTTGATATTTAGCATTACCAGCTTCAAAGGGATTGACTGGAGTATGATTATCCAGCTGTCATTTTTTGACAACTTTTGATTCATTCAACAGAAACTTGATTGAAGCTTTGATTATAGGATAGCTGATAATTTGATGGTTTGAGAGGATTGTCGAGATTCTTGCATGTACGGAACGTGACTTATGCGATTGAAATGTGTAGTTGATATTAGGTTCTTTCCATATGGCACGTGACTCTGCTTAATATTGGGATAACTAGTAGTATTACATTTCAATGAGATTTTACTCCCGTTGGTGGAATATACAGAAATGTGAAGGGATAACGGGACATGGGATCAGAGAGAGCAGTTTAATTTTGCCTCCTGCACATGAGAGATACCAGATACCGTAAATTCTCGAATTTCCCCCAAAGCCCCCCCCCCCCCATTCTATGAGCCTTCATCCAAAATATTTCAAATTGATAAACCCCCGGAGGGGGGCTAATTTGAGAGTTTACAGTATTTCAGATGTATATTGGTTAGCCGGTAGCCTGTTGCGGGGAAAAGACATTGTCCTGTAAACGTCTAGCTCCTAGAAAACTCCTGAATAGCCCCCCCCCCCCTTTTGATTTATTGCTTTGCTTTTATACAGTTTATTAATTAAAAGAACCGATTTCGTTGATAGATTTAAGGGGGTAAGCCTTGAAATGCGTTAATCATAGTTATAGACATAAGTTGTAAACCTTTAGCCATACCGTGTAAATAAGTGGTATCGACAGTTGATTGATTTTTGTTGTTGATTTTATGTTGATTTTATGTAGAATGCTGGAAATTGCTTAATGATTTGGTTTGATATTGGTATGTCGATGCAGCCATGTAAGTATTATTAGATACCACAGATACCACTGAAAATACGACTTCTTTCTGCGTTGAAAAGTCTTTGTATGTTATCCTACATCGTATTTGTTTTGCAATATTACACCCATTTATGGCGACATGATTGCTAACGGTTTTTTCAAGTACGAAATAAATATAAAGTAGCTATTCTAGTTATGTTTCTAAAGAATAAACTTTTAAGACAATAAAATGTTTCTTTGAAAAAATACGTTGACATTGAATTGTTATGACATTAATGTTCTATACCAAACTACACTTTGTTAATCTATATCATAACATCCCATGCTATTCGCTACTATGCTATACCAAACATTACTATACTCTACGTTACTTTACTGTATTGTATTTTACTGTACTGTACTATACTAAACTATACTATACTATGTTATACTATATTATATTATGCTATGCTATACTATACTATGCTATACTATGCTATACTATACTATACTATACTATACTATACTATACTATACTATACTATACTATACTATACTATACTATACTATACTATACTATACTATACTATACTACAATGTTCTATACTATTACTACACTTTTCTTTATCTATGGTTTTATCTATGACCATGACAACAAACCAAAACCTTCTGATAGAAGATGGTACCTGATGATGATGACCAATGCTAAGCTATACTGTACTTTACTATTCTATACTATTTCTATACTGTACTATACTATTACTCTACTGAACTATACTATTCTATACTATTACTATACTATAACTATTACTATACTATATTATACTTTACTATACTATATTATGCTATACTATACCCATAGCTGTCAGTGTTAGCTCGTTGCTAATCTCCGTCTACGTCACTGCCTTGCTCTAGTAGCTGAATTCACGGGTGCCCTTTTTCACCATATCGATACTCATTATTCTTAAACACTATTCATACCGATATAGGAACTGTGTAGCACGAGGTCAACTGTTCATGGGAGGAGACCTGCACAGAGCCTTGGGTCAGCTAATCTTTTTAACACTATGACGATACTCTGCTCTTTTTGTCATCAAAATCAGCAATAATTTCAACCATTTCCTTCCATTATGTTGTGATATACAAGACTTTTGTTTTTTTATCAGTTTACTTCGCAAACGTTCAACTAGATTTACATTTTCTGTATTCTTCTTTAGAGAAGTGCCTACCTACAATCTGGGTAGAGACATTTATATGAAATTTCTATAGTTGGATCCAGATGAATCAGAGTTCTAATTCTAGTTATAGAGCATCCCCATAAGGCATAGTAAAAAGCGTTGTTACAAAGCTTAAGAGTCTTCATCAGCATCAAGCCTTGATATAGCATCACATATCGCAATTCAATTTCGTATATCCACTATGACTGACGCAACATGATGTCTTGGAATTTTGCTGTAGCGTCTGTTTTGCTCCATACGCTGCGCGCAAAGCATCAATGTTGGTAAAGACTCGTTATGACTTACAGTCTTGATGTCGAATGCTATCTGCATTAGTATAGGGGATTCAGCAAGTACATAACTGGTAAACTCAATGTTAACCTTGATAATTTATAGTGTTTGGCTTTATACACTGTATAAAGACCGTCATGGCTGACAAGCTTATTCATCAGCTGATCGTGCAGCCAATGTATTTATATCCTGTCTAATTTCTGTATTCTTCTCTCAATGAAACAGTTAATCACAGAAATCATTCATCCTTGTTATGACCATGAATTAGGTCGCGTGAATATTGATCGCAAAGTTTCGAGATAAAAACCAAATGTCGAACAATTTAAAGTTATCAAGAAATCAAAACAAAATAAGACGAAAGGTGCCAGTTAAATTTACATGAATATTGTTTCCTTGAATCTTTACATCTAATGCTTCATATAAAAAACATGCTCTCTAAAATACAGAATAAAAATACTTGATAATTATCATAAATTACAAAATATTCCAACAACCACAGAGGTTGATTGATTATGCTTTAAAAATTAGAATATTGTCAGTTTAGTGAGCAAGTTATATATATCCAAAAATAATCTGTTAAGATCGGCTTGCTTTGGCGTGTTCCAAAGTTTTATGCTAGATCGTGGAGGGTGGTTAGCAGTAAGCGATGCCGGAATGTTCAAGAAACAAAGGGACAGGCATTTGAGAAAACGATTCCCTGCATCTTCTTATGCTTTCATGGCTGATATTTTAATTTCTATTTACAGGCAACTTTAAAATGTGTGAACATCTGACACATAGAAAGTTAGTGATGCCGTTAATACCAAAATAATGGGGAAAATAGATTATTAAGGCCATATAGCTAGGAACTCGCATAAAACTTCTCAATGTCGTGGCTAATGTCACGGGCAACTTTATTAAGCCTCATTTATACCCCTGTTCTCTTGCATATCTGTTGGAAAGAAGTCTATGATATTTTAAAAAGCCAAATGTATCTTTACTAGACTTGAAGAGTAGTGGAGAGCAGAAGAGGTACAGAGTTATAAACTTAACCAAAAAACTCATCAACCATGTAGTATCTATGCATAACGGAAAACATGTATCACCAGTAAGGTATTTTGAGCTTCTAGTCAAAGATTGGAGTAGGGTGGAGGGTGATGAAGATAGAAAAAACCCAAAAAGATGAAATACACTACTTTGTTCCTACTTTATCTACTGTCAGCTGATTTTCCGATCTGTTCAGTTTACTGACAATAAAACAAGATTCGTGAGATATACTCCTAGATACCATACAAGTTAAAAAAGTATTTAACTAAAATTTATGTTAAAAAAGAATTGCTGTTCTTTATCATATTTTCGATTATAGTTCATAATGCAGTTTTTAAAAACCGTTAATGTTTTCTTTCCAGCCACGCGTACTGATTTAAACTAACATTAATTTCCTTGAAAATAAACTTCGCGTTTCCAGAGAATATGAGGTGAGGCTAAATCTAATTATCGTAGAAACAGCAACAAGATTTATATTAACATAACCTTTGAGAGATGAGAAGTTACCTGTGCATTACGCACATCATACAAGATTATTACAATTGCGCTTTAAAAACTGGGCTGTCTTTGTTTACGTCTGTGATAAAGCAAAACAGATTTGATTACGCCCTGAAGAAGCTGAGGGAAGTCAAGCTTCCTATCAACCAAGATGGCCGACTGTAAGAGTTCTGCTCTCCGAGTACATCTCACTCGGTCTTCTATGAAAAAGCACAACAATAATATCTGTATCGTAAATCGGTCCTTTTCATTTCAACAACGAACCCTTGCATGAATTCCGCTGCTTTGCAAAGAACAGGAATACTGTCTATCTGATAAACATCGTCCTGTCGTATCCATTCGGTATAACGTGTCATGCATGAAATTTTTCCAAGTGTACCAGGCAACCCAGGAAGACCGACAGGGCCTCTGGGTCCTTTCTCGCCTTGTTTTCCCTTTAATCCTGCCTCACCTTTTCTACCTGTTGGTCCAGGAGTACCTTCTGGCCCAGACGTCCCTTTCGGTCCTTGAGGCCCAATTGGCCCAGGTAGACAGTGGACTCCGTTGCGTTGAACATAAATGGGACTGTCAGAGAGACAGTTTCCAGGCATACCTGGAGGACCTTGGGCACCAGTTGGACCCATGCCACCCTAAATAAAAAGTGGAAACATTAGGAAATGTTTATGTAATTATGAGACATGCTATAAAAATCACAGGTCTTGTGCATCTGACTAAATTACCTTTGCAGCCTTAGAAAGAAGTCTCACAGAAGACAAAATTTCAAACCTCGTCTCCTTTTGTTCCTTTAGGTCCAAAACTCCCTGGTAATCCTGCAACACCTGGTGGTCCAATCTACAAAAGAGAATACTTTTTAAGTATATAGAACTCGTCGTTTTGAATTACAGCAAGGAATATAATTCCAATGGTTTGCTTCACTTTTTATTCCCAAAGCAAATTTTAAGACGAATCTGAGACGGTAGTTGGTGATGGTGAGGACAATATCGTATGATCTCGTTTCCGAACGAAGAGAATATACAGCATAAAGATTACCTCAATTGCATCTTGCATAGAACTCAAACGATAAATGCTTACAGCCGTGCCTAAATACTTCTTTGTATTAATCGGTTTAAATCTAGTCAAGATTAGTTTCACGACAATATACTCTTTTATCATGATTTGCAATTGCGAAAGGTTCACTATTTTAAAGTAGCCTACATGAGATAGGGAGTGTATTCCAATTTGCTTTGCATCTGCTTCAACTATCTTAAAAAAACCTACTCAATTTCAACAGAAACACAATCATACTTTATTCTAATGAGCAGAGGCCTTATCTTTTCGAAGGATAAACAATTCATAAAAATTGCAAGATTGCATTTATACTAAACTAATGGATCAATTATCTTGAGTAAAGCTTGTTTACTCTATTGCAGATCTTTCCTTATTATAGATGAAAACTTTTCATTGTTTTCTTCTGAGAGAGATTGCAAAGGAAAATTAAAATGAGGCCATCCATTAATGGCGGAGAGATGAGCACTATGTAATAATATTTAGTTCATGTAGTCGTACTTATGTCGCAGCACCAGGTAAATGATAACTATTCAAAACAAATTTGAAAGTTCACTTACTGGTCCCGCGGATCCTTTTTGGCCACTTAGTCCGGGAGTTCCTGCGTCACCCTGTTAAACAACAACTCATTCTCACTTTCTATACAGGTCTCTTCTTATAAATAAATCGAAATATTATCTTGAAACTACTGTTAGTATAACATAGGAGCCCATATCTTTTGCGAATTCTTTCTTCAGATGGTCAATAGTCAAGGTCAGATGCTTTGGAAATATGGAATACAAGACAACTGCAGGGGAATTAGTATATTTAAGAAGATATTCACATAATTATTCAAGGGTAAGATAGTTTCTCTGAACGTTAGCCAAACGCGTATTCTAATGATTTAAATCGGGTATAATTCTAGCTCTAGATAGGAGCGCCGAGAGGGGGCAAGAGGGGCAAATCACCCCAGGGCCTCAAAAATTAAGGAACTTCATTTGAGAAATAAAATTAATCTCACGTAACAAAAGTATGTCTTAAAATAGTATAGCGTTTTAGATGATTGCAAGAAATTAACAGCAAGATACAATTAACCTCTAATCTAAAGGCGTGGTCGCAAACATTTTCCAAGGGCCTATGAACTATCTCGGGTGTGATTGAATATTCATTAAAAGCATGCTCGAAAAATTAAATATAATGTTGATGTTAAAAAAATTGTATTTCTCCTTCAATTGGTATCTCAGTAGCTCAGAAGTATCAAAAGATATGCATGAACCTAGTATAGACTGGACCCTAGTATAGACTTATTAGAGACAATTTTTACTCTTTTGTTAGCCTTTTGTTATCCCTTGTTTATGATTAACACCGCTTCCACTCTGGCAATAGCCAACCTTTGCTTGGCGTCATCTTTGTAAAGGTTACTGCATGTGACGCTGGTAATGAAGCATCCTTGAAATTTGCAATTCTTAAAGATTGACTGCAATCTCTGCAGGTATTACCTTGGGACCAGCTGGCCCTTTAGGTCCAGGGGGTCCTTTTTCTCCCTTTTTGCCTCGAGGTCCTCTCCTTCTTGTAACTGTTCTTTGGCTTTCCTGCAACACAAATTGTTTAAACAGGGGTTTGAAAGCTAAGAGCTCCATACAAGAACAAATCTGAATAATTTATAAGTGAAAACGTCAGAGAAGTGTATGGAGACTCGAACGAAATTTCCACATCATAACACGATAATATATTTGGAACAATCATTTGTTTTTCTTATAAATTCGTAAAATCGGGCGTTGACTGTATGTTATCAATCATTTTAGAATCCCCAGCTCAAAAGTAAAGCCTTTGTTTTGGTTCCACAAAAAAAGACAATAGTCTATTGTCTGAAGAAATGTCCTGGGGTTTTATGGGGTATCGCCTTCCTACCTAGTTTGATATGAAAGCCCTGAATCTAATTATGTTTCATTGATTCCATAGGAAAGCCCTGCTAAACTTACCTTGTTAGGTAGCTTCTTTGGACAACGAACGACGTACTCTCCATAGCGAAATTCGATTTTACACTAGGATGAAAAGATAACAGATAATCGAAAACATGCAGATTTTAATTCGTATTTCCTGTTTCTCATTAGGCAGTTCTTGTTTATTTTTATAAACACTACGAAAAGAAATTCAAATTTCTAAGCACGCCAGTCGGAGCCATTAGTTTTCGTTTTCCGCCAGGTCCCGTATAAAATACGGAATAGGAGCAGAGAGAAATTAATTTGTTTAATAGAGTCTTATGGAAAAAGGTACCAATCTAAAGGAAATTGTTGCTATGGAACGAAGCTTGCACGTTCTAAAAAACAGCAGAAAACAGTTCTATTTTGCTGCCACTGGACCTTTTCTGGGAACTGGGGCAAAAAGAATGACGGGGCCCGTTATGACGTCATTAAAATTTTGATTGTTATTGTTGTTGTCATTGTTGGGAACTTTGTCATAACTTTTTGGAATCTTTGTCAGCCCAGGATCTGGGGAAATCTATCCCCTGCCCCTCTCGATGGGCCTGTTGCAAATTACAGTTCTCCTGACTCAGTAACTGTATAGAAAATTGATACAGTTTTATTTCTGAAAAACTTTTTATGTTACAATTCAAACCCTACCTAATATGATTTCTCAACGATTCAAACGATTTTATTCTGTTGGAGCAGGTATGTGACCTCGTCCCAAGCTGCTGCCTGCTAATATTTTCTAATACCAGCCCACAAATCCTGCTGAAGCATGCCTCAGTCTATGATTCTTTTACCAACATAGTATCGCTAATCCGCCTAATCGGGACTCGGATTAGGCCCTAATAACATATTTCTTCGGCATCTTTTCAAGCTAGTGATAATTAAAACTTCCATCTCAAAATACAAAAAAAGTTGATATCATTAGTATGGATAATAACTCACTCGTTTTTACGGTTATTAAATGCGATTATTCCTTGACAATTTCAAAGAAAAACATGGCATGAAACATCCTATATCGCTGGAAATAAACAACCGCAAGCTTGACATTCCAGTATCGATCTTTACATCTCATCGTTAATTTGCTATTCCAAAACTTAATGGGTGGTTTATCCAACTTGGCAGTTAAAATTCACGCGACGTCCACAGTCCCGTCGCAATAACCATTCTCCTATCTACATTTTTTGAAATATCATAAATTGGAGACGAGCTGGCTTTCACTGAACCTATTTCCCTGTGCATCTTTAAAGGATTTTTGACAGGTGGGGCAAACCTCATAAGGGGCCTATCCCATGAGCATACTTTAGGAAAAAAACAATAAATACTAGGGCGCTATGAGCCACCAGTGGTTGAGCAAAAGCAATGGTTTCAGTCATGGGGTGGCAATTTTGTCCTGGTTCTGCATCTCATGAGCCATTTTCTTAAAAGATTCCCTCTGAAATATCAGGACCTGGTCAAGACTACAATCTTGGCAAAAAATAGCTGATACATTTGAACGAGAAAGGAAATCGCGTGCTATATCTTCATGTTATATGTGCTGGTGACCTAAACCCCCTTCCCCCAAGGTCAATGTTGGTTAAAAGGGTTACAAAATAAGTGGGGATTACTACATTGGTTACCAATCCAATCCCAAGATTAATTTGAGGGGAAGGGGGCCGGTGATTTGTATATAGCGTCTTTTGAAATTCACCATGTAGGCCTTACAACATATATGCTACTTCTTATTGGGTACTACTTTAAAACTTCTACCCAAAGCTTTCTGATTTTGAATAACTTCAGTTAATTCTATCAACATGAACCTTAAAATTCTATTGACGAAGCAATTCGATACGTTCATGGTGAAGGCGAAGTAAATACCTTTTTTATTTTTCAAGAAATTTCAAAAGAATAACCAAGCAATAGTTTGCCTTTGCGATACTATCCGTTTAAATAAACTCACAATGGAAATTATGGAGGTTATAAGACATCAAAATATAGCTTAAGTTCATCACGAAAATAGCCTTCATTGTATTATGATTGTTCGATTATATTCACGGGAGGTGCTTATTTCGCTTTAGTTGGATTCATCTCGTACTTTTTTAACACCCGCCCCCCTACCCCAAATTTATCCATTTATTTACTTTTCATGTGGAATAGAAAGTTGATAAATTCTTTTTCCTCCAGTCTTTGAAGCATAGACTTCTTATTCTCTCTGAAGGCAAACGAGGACAAAACAAACGTTGAGTGTTCTCATGACCTCGCCATTCCCCCAAATCATTTCAAAACCTTCTGGTTCTATTTTAAACAAAGTTTTTTCGTATTCCTTTGAAATTAGGCACAATGGATCACCGGCTAACACTACATTTCCTGCATTGCCTATTAATGTCAAACACTCCCTTGCAAGAAATTTACCACTCCCTTCACTAGAGAAGTGACTTGCTTACATTATAAAGTGAAAATAGAGTGTAAGAATAAAGGCCAGGAACACATGTTGAGACTAACACACTTTTGTAAACAATTGCAACCAAGATTACACGCATGTGCCGAAAATGCTAACGGCCCATGAAATGGCACAAATTGGCTTTGAAATAATAAAAGTGCCTTGGTTTCTCTAGTGCGCGTCATCTTCTCAGATTATAATTTCTAAAGGGATCTTGTTGTAAATATCTATTCCTGAACCATCAAGGTTAACAAATAAAGTGGCTTGTATTTGATTTCTCAGTTAAATTTTTTACATTTTTGTGTGCGTCATTGTTATATTTATTCAATAAGAAACTACAAGTAACACCCTTATAGGTCTATTTTAGAAAATCATGATCTGAAAAGATCATATTTTTTTAGAAAATCATGATCTGTAAAGATTTTCAATGACAATTTCTGACTCTTTCCATAACAGTAGTTTCACTCTGCTCCCAATGACTTTGATGGCTAAAAATACATTCTTTTCTCAGTAGCGCTGAATGCGTTTTCGAGTAAAAATAACAAAATACTAAATGTTGCTTTGGAGCTGCTCAAAGGACTTGCAAATGCACTTGTCATATGGCAGCCACTCTTTCATCGTTGTTGTGTTCTTTTGTAAAATATCATTTGAAATTATGTTTGCAAGAGATTAAGCAATGACGAAGGGTGGCCTAGATGTTCTTTACTCTTTCCTCATAAAAAAATTATTTAGTTTATTTAGTTTATTCAGACCTTTTTGTGTCTCTTTATAAAAGCTCACCCCTTTTGGTATTCAACCCCAAAATTTTTTTGCTGGCTGAGGTATATCGATATCAAAACTTGAGCATAAAATCTTAATCGATTCCTCTCTTGTTTGAATAGGTGCCACACCTTTAAATTCGAAAGGACAACAATCGCAAGGTAAACATGGCTGTCCATGGTCATCGTCCCCTTCAACCCTTCTTTAGCGTAGACCAGAGACGCCTGCATAACTTGGTGGGTCGGTGAAAGGGGCCCAAGAAATTTGAAGTATGTGCATCTTTTCATATTTTGTCCCCAACTGCCTCTGTTGGCTGAATGCCGGAAGGAGTCGCCCCCGTTGTCCCCATGTTACATACATCCTCGTGTGGCCCCTGTTTACTTGCTGTTGATTGGACAAGCATGCACAGATGACGCTATAAACATCATTCTTGTTTTCACGCATTTTGAGAAAATATGTTATCTTTCCACGCACACCACCTCCGTGATCGTCTTATCATAGCAAGCCATTATTGCTGCTACCTTATCACCTCTAACTTCTATTTCAAGACAAGTTGGTGGGTGGAATTTTCAACTTTTTTTCTATCACATTGCAAACACGGATATCTGTTTTGATTCTTTTTGTTTTGTTTTGCAATATTTTGAATTGATAAGTTCTAGAATAACATATTATCTTTCCGTTATTCATTTTGCTTTTTCAAAGGTTCATTCATTGCCTTGCAGAGCTTCAGGCATCTTGTATAGCTTTTCATTGATTTTGATATCTTTTCTCGTTTCCACTCTCCGTCTTAATGTAAAATGAACAATGCTTATGCAGATCTGCCCGAAGTTCATGGCGCTTGCCCTTAAGATGATTCATTGTGATAGTTACACATTCAGTTTTGGCAGTTGCTTAAAGCCTATAATGTTGGAGTATTTAAAATTTCATGGAAAATGATTGTTTCGCTTTGCTATATAACTCGCATAGAAAGCTCTCAAATTTTGTCTTTCTGTGATCCTTTGTGATAGCATAACCACGGTAAGATTTCTAACTGCTCTGCATACGATAAAAGTCTCAAAGCAGTCATATCAAAGGGGAATAAATAGGTGTCATATGTCTACCCCCTCTCCTTTAATCATTCAGTTCCTCAGGAAATTTAACGTATGAAACCAAACTTCGCGATATATTTTAGTTTATTCCGTTTCAGACATTTCCAGATTTGACCTTGGTTTCATGAATCATAATTTAGCTCATGTGTAATATGGGAATTTTTCGAAAGCAGAAAAGTACTTTATAAAGGTTGTCCTAATTTTTCTTAAACTTGGTCTAACAGAGGACATAGATGGTGACTTTCAACCGTCTTATCTGCCAACCACACCCTAGAAAATTGAACTTGCTCTAATAAAGTTTTATTACATCCAAAACTCGTTTGTTTGTTCATCAACTTAATGATAACGGAAATGATTTCTGCAGCAGAAGAACTTACGAAAGAAGCTTGGAGCCCTTTAGAGATAAGTAAAAGCCTAGAATTGTTTGAGCTTTGGGGCCAATAGGAAAAGGGTGTATAAGCGAGTTTGTTAAATTTCACACTTATTCAGGGTTTTAAAACCCAGCAGCTGCCTCTGAATGAAGAACCATATTTTTGCCGTTAACCGCCACGTTTACAGGATTAAAGAATGGATCTTGTGACGTAAAATATGCTTTCAAACTCAGCTACATTTTGCCTGCGTTTTGTCTTGAGTCATAAACGCGCGAGTGATTATCCCACGTAGTTCTCACAGCAAAACTGAGACGTGAATGACTGTGTACATTTTTAAGGAACTTAATCTGAAAATAAACTGACAAAAGCGTTCCACTTTCCCTAAACATTTTCTGTTACTTCAAAGACTACCTTACAAAAACTAGCGGGCTGCATTATCAATCCATGAATCGTGCTACTCATCTCGAAAAATGCTCAAAGGGAAATCATTGTACTTAGTTTCAATAAACGTGGATTCTTGCCTTTCAAAAACATCCGTTATCTGTTCTTGTACACCAGTTACTTTTGAAAAGTCTCACGTTAGCTCACCTCATGAAACTATTAAACCGACCCTCGATGCTATTGATCAGTACAGAAGTAACCCTGCTTGTAAGAAAGTCCTTTTCACAATATGTTTTGCTTATCATGAGCTGAGAACTACCGAAAATGAATTAACACTCCTTCTGGCGTGTTTCTTCCCCTGGCATTTTTTCGCCAACTTTGTTTTAGCAACATAGTAATCCAAAAGATTGATTTCTTGTCAAGCTTCCCTTTCTAATCTCCATTTAACAATGCACGCAAATGTGATTTACTTCTCCATATTAGCACCTCTTTATATGAATATAGGATATCAAGCACAGAATCCCTTACTGCGTATTGTAATTGCCAATCAAATGTGGCATATCCTGAAATTGATCTTTCTTTGGCAGTAGCCGAAAACATAAAAGACTTTACTCTACTTTGGATCTACGAATTTTCGCGAACAATTTTAGAGCTACCTGAATATCCTGACAGGCAACAAAATCATATATTTATTCGGGGTCTCCGTTAATTCTTTCCTGGTGTAAAAATTCTGGTTATGACTTGGAATAAGCACTCCAAAGTATTATAAGCTGTTTTACAACTAAAAAAATCCCCCTTTTACATGTAAAACCAGTTGCAAAGGAATACAACTTACCTTTTTTCCTTTGCCTTTCGCTTCAACTGCTGTCATTCTGGAAACAAACTCAAGCTCCGATATAGCAAGCAGGAACATTGCAGTTGAAACAAAGATATTGTACAACTTCATGATTCCAGATGATGAGTTCTTCAAACAAGCTCTCCAAGATCAATTTCTCGAATCTTAGCAAAAATGATACCTTTGCAGGCAGGTCTAATTTTCAAAGAACAGTTTTCTCAGTAACGTCTTGTTGTTTTGAGTCTGCTCCTCAAAGTAAATCAACGCCTAATCAGAACCATATAAAGACAACTTCCCTGTTTTTTTAACGACTTTCCTGTCTCTGAAAAACTCTTTCTTTCCACAGCAAGTGTCCCTGTCTTCTGTAACCGTGCCCTGTTGATGCGCAGTCCTAATAGTCTGCTGCGATTCCGCAACTGTTGATATTACGCGCAATGGCTGGTCCCCAGTTTCCAGTTCTCTTTATTCTTAGCCAATCCTCAACACTGTCCAACTCTTTTGCTAGCATATTCTATACCACTTTAATGTAAGGCGCGATTCCCGACAAGCAGCGATCAGTTTTATCGAAATGAAAAAGCATCTCTTTTTATGCACGACTATTATCTTTTAAGCTGATATCTTGCTGTGTTGTTTGAAAATTCGCTTTGGGGCCTCCGTTGAAAAAAGTTTTAACTCGGAAGAAGTGGTGTTATGCCTTAACTGAGAGAAAATTCCATGAAATGTTGGAGATTATTCAATGTGTTCAAATCAAGCTTTACTTCCAAATGAATATGGCGTATGAACTGCGAGGGTGACCTTGAATAACTTAGCGCTCATGCGACGTTTCAGACCATAGATCATAATAACCTTAGCACTGAAGAGTCAATTCCTCCGTTATTGACATAACAGGCAGCGTGGTAATAATAACAGTATAGAGATAAGACTTTCTCAAGAAGAACTCGCTATAGTCTCTAAGAAACTTAAGGCTATCCTCGGGAGCTTCAATGTTTTTAAGGCTGCTTAACTTTAATTTTAATAACTAGGTTTATCGGCACTATACAAGCCTGATAGAGGATTTTCTTTGAAAGATTATTTCGCCATAAGGTAGGCTCCTGGTTGAGAGTTTGGAAATATTGAAAGGTCTTGTATAGCGCCTTCTTCAACATTTTCCTTTTGGTTGGAGGAATGAGGAGGAGCTTTTCGTAATACTCTATGTTAAAAGGCACTGAAGACAGATCCCCTTCCTCAATCTTTAGCCAAATATAAAATCTTCTGTTAGAATGAACGTGATTATTGGTTCAGCGGGATTGTAATGCGTAATGTAAAATGAGCTGCATGTCACGTGATACAATTAAATACGATTGCAAAGTTGGGTTTAACGCAATATTACGTAAACTTGAGCAATGGTTTAGGGAATTGAATGATTCCTTCTTTGAAACTGCAAATCAAATTTTTCAAATTCTGTGACTTTTTTCAAATTTCACGGTTTTTGTCATTTCAGGCTTGTATGGTACGTATTCCTAGAAAAATTCTACCCTTTTTGATAAAAACTGTTTAAGGGCGGGGTTTAGTGATGATCCACAACTTTTCTAACTGCCAGCCTTTTCTAACTTATTCACATTGTAAAGTGGCCTCTTATTAGATTATCTTTCTCGTGAAAATCTTTCTATTTTTTTATTTTAAATAAATTATTAGCACGTAGTTAGTCTACATTTAAATTTTGGTCGGTAGGTAATAGTTTTCACTGGAACTATTGGAACATGCACAAAGAACTTACTTTCTCAATGTGTTCATAGACAGCACTTTAATCCTACTGTAATTATTGCCATTTGGATGTAGCAAAAGTAAAATGCGTAGGGGGGGGGGGGAAGAGGGAGGGGTTAGTATTGATGCTGCCAGAATATTAATAATTCATTCAGATAGAGCTGCCCAAATTGATAATTATGATAATAGTAATACTATACCTTGTTTTGTATAGCTAGTAAAGTTAATTCTAGCCAACTGTTTAACAAAGTTACAATTTTTCGATTAAAACAAATTGAGTGAAAGCATTAAGTATAATAAATGTAGCACTATTAATACACTTAAGTGATATATCTGTAATTATACATTAATTGAAACTGTACAAAGCCACTTTAAAAATCCCACACCAGCGACTTAATTTGTACACAATCTGCGATTGCAGTGTATGTTTTATTCTAATTCCATTTTCGTTAAATGCTTGTAATTTTTTCAGTTTTTATATCATTTGGCAGTATATCCCATAAATCTGATTGAACCAGTTCCATGTACGGTCTATTCCACTGTTGCTAACTATTAGCACATGCACCGCGGAGCGTTGAGAAGAGTGTGAGGTCTAAAAATGTGGGGGGGGGGGGGGTTTAAAACCTTATTAAAAGAGGCTTTACTGGTAGTTTATCACTTAATATTTGGCATACTTGGCTAAAGCCAAAGGCAAAGGTCCCACCGTAGAAATCTTTTATTCTTATAAGTTTACAGTTCAAACCAAGGAAGTTTTCCTGCCCTGACCTCGAAGGATAGAATTATTGGAAAGACACCGTTTTTGCAAAAAATAGGAGAAAAGGGGGCCCTTTTATAAACAAAGGACTTTTGCAAAGAAAAATAGTAGCATTTAGTTGCTTTGAAAATTTGTCTAGAGGAAATGAGTTTTTCTTGTGCCAAGAATCCATTGCTGATAAACTGATAATTTAAGCAAAGGAAGTGTATACCAGTTGTATACCAGTTGGATGTCCGGCGCAATGAGCAGAAAAATTAAGTGAATACAGGGTATCGTTTCCCCCCCTGAAGGAGACTCAAAGGGTGTCTTGAAAGCGATCCAAGTCTTCAGAAAATATCAAACAGGAGAGAGTGAAGAAGAATCTCAACTGACGAACATCTCCCAATATAGTTCATGTCATAGAAAAACGCATTTTACAAAAGTTTTCAACTTTGACTACATAACCTGAAATAACACCGTTAAATACCTCTAAATACACGTGTTATTTATAAGAAACCTAGCTTGGGTCCTAGTACTAAAAGTTTCTTAATTTTTCATCAGTTTCTAGCAGGCACGTAAATACTGGGGGGGTGTGGGGGTGTGACACCCCCCAATCTTTTATCCAGTTGGAGAATTTGAGGACAGTCGGAAAATTTAAAGCTGTAGCATAAGAAGCATAAGAAAGGAATAAGTTCAAAAGAAAATAGTTGCTTGGTAAAAAGCAGTCCTAAAAAGACTGAGAGGCAACGCAATACAGAAAAAACGAAGTTTTGTATGAAAATGCAAGTATTTTCAACTACATTCGTCGTAATGGGGATAGTGTGATAATCATTCCATCAAATTGAATATGAAAACTTCTAAAAACTGGATACGAAATAGATTTTTTAAATAATTTCTATCAGTAATTCTTAAAGAAGCGCAGTACATTTCCCATGACTTGTCAAGATCTTTCTCCGTTTGAGATCGACCGCTGAAACAAAGGCGGCGCCAGCTGGAGAGCTGGGGACTTCAGCCCCCCCCCCACATTTTTGTAAAAATGTATTTTTAAGCAAATAAAAAGAGTAAAGGAAAGGATATCAAGAAAAGAATAATCCGACTCCTTTAGTTGCTTAATTTCCAAGGAATACGCCGAGGTCTATGGGAATGAACTCAATTTTAAGACTGGAATTAATCAAACGTAATAAGAGCATGACTTAAAAATAACAAAATATTTTAAACGATTGCCAGAAAATACCTGCAAGAAATATTCTGAAATGTACTTTTAGCTAATCTAAAAAGCGTGGTCGTGAAAATTTACTGCTCGCTTCGCTCGCAGGGAAGCCACTTCTTTAAAATCCCTTTAAAAGGCCTCCGCCAACCTCCCGCCGGCTCCTTCAAACGTACCGCTAGCATAATGTGTGAATTTTTCAAAAGATGGTTGTCTAGTCTAATTATTGTATCATCTCCAGCCCCCCCCCCCCCCACTTTGAATTCTTGGCGCCGCCCCTGTGAAAGACTAAACGACCTCATGATTCTTACTTGCGAG